TGGCGTCGCATTGTTGTTCCTGCCTGGCAATTATAAGTGCAACAACAACGCCAGCCCGACTACACACCATGCCATATTATTTTCTTGTTATTGTCTCAGAGCTTGCAGCACGACACCCAATGAATGAATGACTGAACGACTGAGTGAGTGAGCAACTGAATGAATGAGTATTTGAAAAAAGTCGATCCAAATGACACGATAATCAAGGCAAATAGAAATGCCAGTTGCCAGTTGCCAGTCCTCGGCTTTGTTTCCACTCTTCGGAATCGGAATCGCATCCACGTTTAGCGCAGGGGTGTCTCCGTTTCTGTCCCATTGACGCGCAAGGGGTTCATTGACTGTATTGTTGAATTTTATGGTTGGATTACTGGAAAGTCTAATGCAAGTGCATGTAAGTCGAGTATCTGACTTGCTGCTACTTGCTACTTTCGTGTAATTACCTTGCCACCTCCCCTAGTGGCTTTGTTTTCAAACAAAATGCTGTCTCTTGCTCTTTAATCTGCAATTTCGGATTATTTGAAGCTTGAATTCTGCCACAAATGTTTCCAATAACACTCCAATGACAGCTGTCACCTTTATGTTGCATTTGCGGTTGCGGTTGGTGGACTGGGCCTAATTGCTGGCAAAAGTTTGGGCTTAAAGACGGCTTTATTTAAGCCCACTCGGCTGCTCGGCCAAGCCGGCAACTCAAGCCTGCACTTCAGGTGCATCCACTTCTGAGGCACATCGTGTGCAAGAGCCAGAAGAGCAGCCAACACTTTATCTCTGGCCTTGGCTTGCTGGAAACTATTTTGTCTTAATTAGAGCCACCAACGAATTTTCCTTTGACGTCATGCAACTGCAACATCAGATAGCAGATACCAGAAAGCAGAAAGCAGATTTCCTTGCGGCCAACTATTGGCGTTTGTCTATTTTTGGACGGCAAACAAAAGCATTGAACCCGCTTTGTTTCCTCGTCGGGGCGAGCTGGTAACTTTCCGCCGCCCCCAAAATAGCCGAAAAAGCCAAAAATTGTTTGTTTAGCTCGCGGGTTGACTAATTAACTGTCTCCCGTCCTGGGGGGAAGCCACCACCTCCACAGGAAACGCGCGTCATGCCCTTCCGTCCACTTGACTTCTTTTATTCGGAGGGGGGTGTGGGTGGGGGAGTGGGTGTTCCACCCCCCATTCATAATTTGCGTGAACCTTGTCACCCGGCAATCTTTATTTTCCATTCGGTGTTTTATTGTCAGGTAATTTAATTAATGGCTCCTCCTTACGGGAAACGGGTCTCTAAATATTTGTTCTTCGAGTGCGTTGCCAGCAGGTAGTTGATACGGGTGTCGAGTACTTCCCGATAGTGGTTGGCAGCCATAAGGAAGTCCTACTCAGAGATACCTATTCAAGTGCTACTCCAGCTGGACATGATTCATTCCAGTACATTTCGAATGGGATTAGGGACGTCCACAGGGCGTATACTTGATGTCCGCAGCAGAGGAAAATAGTTTAATCAAAATCTCAAATGGGGCATTTAAATTCCTGGCAAAGCTGTGACTTCCTGCTGCCTGGCAGGCACGCAGACCTCCCTTTAGTGACCTTTCCTGCCCCGCCACCCCACCGCCCACTTCGATAGACAAACAAACAAACTAATTTCGCTCCGCTTAGTCATGCTGCACCATGTTGGGCTGGACATGGCTCTGATGGAGAATGGCGGATGGAGGACTCCTGACCGAACAATCCAGCGACAAGCGCAATCAGCGCAATAACGCCGGGGCCCAGAAGAACTAGGCAGTCTCCAAATATTTGACCTTCGGTGGGAGTACATTGAGATTCTGGAGCTCAGAACTATCCCACAGAAGTTTGTTATTCTAGGGACTGGCGGGCCATTCTTTCTCGCAGTGTGGGCTCGGAGGATAAGCCGGGATGTGGCCGCTTGGGAAGTCGAGGCACGTTTGTCATTGGTAATTTCGAGCATGTCATAATGATAACTCAAACAAAGGGCGGATGGGGGCACTCGCATGGCCCTCGCACTCGCCCTCGCCCTCGCGAGGGGATGCAAAGGGGCCACTGTTTGTTTATAATTTATTTTTAGGCCAAGAGTCTTGACCTCCCTGCCAATGTTTATTCAGCGGCTCACGTAGTTCACTTCGTGTAATTGATTAAAGCAATGTCGGGAAGACAATTCCTGGGGCTCCTTCGGTGGAAAATGAAATTAAATTCCTGGAAAGGTTGCTTTGAAGTGGCTGGGCTGGTTAACACAAATTGTCATACGCCAGTCGGCCATGGTGCTCTTTATTAAAAATGGTTACACAATCCTCGAGCAGCGTCACTCGGGTAACAAGTTGGCCGCAAAGCAGATTTATGACAAGAAAGTAGCTGGCGTCGCCTACAATTTCAATATTTCTTCAGACAAGTTGGCCAGAAGGCGAATGGAGGAGAGGAGAAAGGAGTGTCGGCGGCGGCTGGCAAATTGAAAATCTTACTCAAGTAGCTGACGGGGCTGGGCTCTTTTTTGCGAGTCTGCGGATGCGTTTAAATTGGAAATGCGATGCGGCGAAATGCCCGGGGAGCTCCGAGCTACACTCCCTCACGAGAGAATAGAAAGTTGCTCATACGCCGCGTGGTCTTTAATGTTTCGCCAAACCATAAAGTGCGAGGAGGGAAATAAATAACACTTGCACTCACAGTCGGATCATAAAAGTTGACTTTAATTAAAGCCATTCGCGGGAACAACATGCAATTAGATAGATAGTCTGTCTTGGAATTAAAGATGTTTGTTGGAAAAGATACTACATGCTATAGGCTATAGGATTATTCCCCTCAAAGTACCAGACATCTTTTCGAATGATTTTCTCTAAAATAGTCATCTTCTTTTATGATAACTATTAATATTTCGCTGCGGCGCAGTAGTTGTATAATATTAATGCTCCGCCAGGCCATATTCGCTCCAGAGCTCGCCCCGGACAAATGAGAACCGTTTATGGCTGCCATTTGGATAACTTTTTCCTCTCTGCGACCTTGGGGCCCCATGCACGAATACGCGTAGTTACAATATGCATACTAACATGTACATATATGTCGCAGCACCAGTGTGTGCGAATCAGTATATTAAAATATTGACTGGCAATCATAAAAGTGAGCAATAATGGGCGCATATTCCCAGGCAGTATCTCTGTTCGATGGTAGCTGCTGGTAGGGCTGGCAACTCTGGGCTTATAATACTAGATAATAGAATAAATACGTAAGCTCCATGCGATAATGGCAGGGCTCTGACTAGATACACCTTTTTCAACCGAAAGACACTTGTCCAGCTACAGGTTATTGATCCAAGCCGACAATTTTAACATTCCCAGAATGCAAATAGCACTCCTGGCTAGTACTGGCTCCTGGCTACCCCACCACTCCACTAATCGACGCCATCGCTGCCATCGCCGCCGCCTAATGACGGCTTTTCCCCATTTTGTCCCGATTTCGCGCTCCTTTCGCTCCCGGCTTACGCCATCTTGCCCCATTCTTGTTTGCCTTAGCGGCAAATGCTCGGACATGCCACAGATACAGATACAGATATAGTATCGCGCAGATACGTGCATGTACTGGTGGGGTATGTACCTACGTATAAAGTATATGGCTTTGTTATCTGCTATCTGGCCCGCCTTTTGTGCCACTATCAACGGTGTCAGCCAAATGCAGACCAAAACGAATAGAGTTGAGCGCCATACTGCACTGAGAGAAAACTGATGGACAAAATGGAAAAATTATTCAAAATATACTAACCTTTTAAACTAGGATAGGTTACTCCTTAGCTCTTAAAAGCCTATTCCTAATAGTCTTTAAAAGGTAGTACCTTTTTTTTTCACAGTGACAGTGGCGTGCGCCATTAATGAACATCGTTTGCTTATCCAGACTGCCACCCTCCGCCCCCCATTATCGCTGCCCCTGCCCCTGCTGTTGACATAATGTAAGCCACCGATGTCTGTCTCATCCGCTCTCCCAGTGGCGTAAAAATAGTTCGCTCTCGCTATTATTTGTGCCACCAGTTGCTAGGTGTACGAAGATAGAATTCAGAAAGGATGGCTCCCACCTCTCTGGCAGGGCCCACAGTGCGTATGAGTAATGTTGAAGTTGAAGCCATTTGTTTGTTAAATTGTAGCATTTAAAGCGCTTCACTCTGCCACTCACTCACACGTGCCACTCAATGTCTATTCAAACGTGCAACAGAGGCAGAAAACCAGAAAGTTGCAACTGCAACTTCAGTTGGGTCTAAGGCTGCCAAACGCAGCGCCATGATGGCCATTGTTGCAGAACGGAAATTAAATCATTTCCGCTGTCAACTATCGCTGCTATCCCGACAGGCACCAGCTGTCATGCCACAGAGGGGTTCTGGTCTTAAAGAGCTGTGTTTTGTTTAAAAATAATTCGTACTGTTGTTGACTCTTCTGTGCAAACAGTTTACTTAACGAGCTTTTCAATATCATCGACGCACTTTGTATTTTCAATTAAACCCAGTTGGACCGCAAACCACATCAATCCTTTGCCAGGATCCCCACCTATTGTCCCTGGCCGCCACCCTGCTGCCCATCATTGTTTGCCGTTGGCTTTTGGAGTATTGTTGACGTTTCAGTGACGAAGGGAACCAGAGGGGGCAGAGAGGCCCTGTGGCCATGTTTATTTTACTTAACTGCCATTTTACTCTGGCCTACGTGTGCGGCCGTGTCTGTCACATTGCCTTCCCCCGAACTGTTGTTTGTTTATCAATTGGCGGCCTGTCTGTGGCCCTACAGCCCCTGTCCCCGTCTTCGCCCCCGCCCCGGCCGCGCTGGCCAGATGTCTCGGCCAGTTGACTGCTGGCGACCCCGAAAGCGTTAATTGAATTGCCTCTCTCGGCGGCACATGGGAAAGCGCTGAAAACGCTTTAAAAAAAAAAACTGTCAGGGAAACTCTCTGCGAAATAGTTGAGGGAAAACTTTTAGCATCTCTGTCTGGAAAGTCTGGAAAGTTACGAGTTGTATTTATTCTAAACAGAACTCCAACAGGTCTCGAGAAACTTTGCCAACTGCATAATTGAGTTGAAGGGCGCGCTTCCCTGCTATTATGATTATGAAAGTGAAACAGAGTGAAAACGAAGGCCCCAAAGTTTCAAAGAAAAACAAAAGTACGCCGAACAGTGATCAGCGAAGCCAAAGTCAACAAATTACGCGAAAATTCGACAATTTGCATCCGATAGCATCCGATAGCGGCCTCTCGGCGGCACCAAAGCCAACAAAATTGATTCAAAACACCCAACAGCAGCTAACTCCTCGACAACAGCGACAACAGCCTCGAAGAAATACAGTCTACGTTACGCGGCTGGATTGCTCAAGTTTGACAAAATTCAATTCATTAAGACGGAGGGTTTAACATTCGCGTTGCTGGCGGGCCCCATGGGCCAAGCGGCAAGTATGTGTCGATTTCGTGGTTGTCGCTACAAAAACAAGAACAAGAGCAACAAACAGCAGCAACAACAGCAGCAACAGCAACAGCAGCAGAATGAAACACCCACCCATAGTCCCCAGTTTCAGCATCATTCTGAGATAATCCCGGCAACAACAGGTGAGAGGGAGGTTGTGCTTCGAATTTGCATAAATATTTTGTCACATAACTTCGGAAAGAACAACAGTGAGGTTGCCCTTATATGGATTTTCCCCTTTTTCCCAATCCTGACGCTGGGAAAATGTTCGCTTTTTTGCTGGCATTTGCTGGCAACTTTCAATTTGCATTCGACTGCACAGCACATGTGTGTTTGCCAGGGCACTCTGGTGCCGGGATACCCTTTCAAAAAACAAGTAGTCACTGATGGAAATCATAAATGCCCGGCAATTGCATTCATAAAATCTCAATTACTCTAGAACTGTCAGAATATGCCATCCTGCCATCAGGAATATGCCAATATTGGCCCAAAGGGCGTTCGATATTCAGCTACTGCCTTGGCTCACAACTAAGAGCAAAATTCCATTGCAAGTGTTGTATAAAAATTCTGGCATTTTGCAGACCAGGGCGGGCCACGGGGTGTTGGAGGAATGTCTTACATAAAGTTGACGCATCAAACCGCACCAAAGTGTTGGCTGCTGGGCCGTGGCAGGGGCACAAGCACCTCCCACACCTACGACACTGTCGACTTGTCATTTGACTTCGAGTGCAGGAAATGGCCAAAGGAATGCAGGAGCCGGGTGGCGCCGGGGAAGTGCTCTCCGGTCTGTGCCAAATGTTTTGCAGCAGCTTAAGCATGTTGCATGTTGGATGGTGCGAGGCGAGTGCAGCTTAAAAGATTAAATTCCCAGTCCCCGAAAGGGATGACTGTGTAGCATGTGGCAGTCATCTTGCCGCACTAAGTAGCCTGCAACTTGCAACAAGAACGAGAATCTCCCACATGGAAATTTATGCCTTCAGTGGGGGATTTGGGGAGGGATATCTTCGGAAAATACTTGTCCTTAATCCCAAAGAGAATACATGACAGGATAGTCAATATTTTACAGAACATTCCTCCCAAAATCAGGCACAAGTTTGTTGGAAATGTAATCTTTTCTTATTAAAGTTTATCAGGACAAGTATTTAACGAATGGAATTCAAGCTCAAAACAGAAGAAAATACTTCCCCCACAAAGTTTCCTAAAATAGAAGGTTTTACATATTTAAGCAGCAACTGCCCTTCAGTTTCCAGCTCAGCCCGAAAGCCAAATTGTCAAGTCAGGACCGGAGTGGTATGTTTCTTCCTTTGTTTGTTTCCGAGTCGAAAAGTAGCACATAAATCATATTTTCTATACAATAAATAAACAAGGAGGGATTCTCCAAGGCTCCGAAAGGGTAATCCTAGGGGGTGAAGGACTTCCTCGGCACTCCCGAGACATTCATCAGTGGGTTACTGCTTGTCGTATTTGTATCTATTTTTAGCACTTAATCAGGCCCTCAATGCTGCCATTACAGACTCCAGACACACACACACCCCGAGTCGAGTCAATATTTCAAGGAAATTGCCAATATTTCCGGTTAATGTTAACTGAAACACTTTGGGAGCCTCGACTGTCAGTGTTATTTATGGCGACGTTACGTATACGCCACGTATACGTACCAGAGTCTGAGTGGCGTGTGTGTGCCAGAGCCTTCGCTTTAAGGCGCTCCTTGACACTTAATTGCTCAAGGATGGCGGAGGACAGCGGCAGCGGCAATTGATGAGCTGAAAAAGCAATTGAACAAATTTATGTGATTTGCCTCGCAAACCGAAATTTTTTTGAAATTGAAAAGGAAAACAGCGGAAAAGAGCTGCAGAAACGAAACGTCAAAGGGCGGAGCGGGGCGTGGCCGCAGTCACGTGCCAAGTGTGACTTTCCCCCAAAGGATATGTCCCATTTGCAATGCAAATGTTGCGCCAAGCGAGAGGGATGGCGGCGAGAGGGCGAGGCAGAGCGAACAAAGGGCTCATAAAACTGTCGACACATGCAGCTGGCAAATTATGCACTGCAACAAAAAATGTTTAAAGGATTGATGCAGATTGTGACGCATATTAGGGAGGAATATATGGATATGCATTGGGCAAGGTATGGTCCTCGCGAAAGGGGTTGCTTCCATATTTCGAGATACTTCAGTAAAATCTATATGAAATTAATTGAATTTTGTATTTATACAGACTTAAGGAAAACTTATTATCTTATTTTGAGAGAAAATGGTGGAGAATCGATCCAGAAATCGTTTAGGCACTCCGCTTGAGAATTGGATGAGAATTGGGGAAGATATAGCTAACACTGTGGGCCATATAGGGGAATTCCATCACGAAAAATTACAACCAATCATTAAAAAATTTTGCTTTGACGTTTTAATAAAGAATAATGAAGAATCTATTTAAAAACTGTTTGAGGTATTCAGCTCAAGGATCGGGTGAAAATTGTCAATGATATGGACCTAACTGGTGACCATACAAGAAAATGCTGAATTTTTAAAGGAACTTATGCTAAAATATTTGCGATATAATATTTCGATATAATTTAAGGGACAGTCTGTTTAGAAACCGTTTAGGTATTCCGCTTAAAGATAGTATGATGATTGGCCAAGATATAGAAGTGGGATGACTTGGAACAGTGGTATTATAGAATATAAACTGTTCTTTATAATAGTGTATAGAGGTCCTACTTTTGAATGAAATTTAAACATATTTTTAAAGGCTTAAGTACTTTTATTATAATTTATAAGTAAATCTTTGACATTTGAGTCTCCGTGTATCATTTTTGCAATTGAAAAGGAGCCTAGCGAGTAAGCGAATTTAAACAGGAATCAAGTATTCATGTTTCCATTTCTTGTTGTCCTTGGCAGGCCTGCACTTGCGGAGCATCGAGGAGCCTGCGTCGACGCCGCTCCAGTTGGCAGCGGGCAGGATGAGCGCGGAGCAGGGGGGCACGGGGGGGTACGGGGGCTACGGGACCAGCGAGCACTCGCTGCTCATTGCCACACGCCACGCCGGTGTCCCCCTGCCCCTCGCCCAGCAGCAGCCACTCCCCGCCCACTATCAGCCTGCTCCGCTCGCCACCAGCGGCAACGGACCCTCCTCCTGCTCGCAGCAACAGCACCACCAGTCGGCCTACCCGCCGCCGCCCCAGCACCAGCAGTACCCGCTGCAGCAGCCGCACCACCCGTACCAGTACCAGTACCAGCAACACTATCACCACCAGCCCACATCGCCGCACCACAGCCGGCCCTACGACCCGGAGCACGCGCGGATGGAGGCGTGGTTGGATGAGAATCAGGAATTTGTACAGGATTATTTTATAAGGTGAGTATAAGGCCAGTCATCCCCTAGCCAGAAAACTCTTTCTCAGCAGACGTCCTTCATGGGCAGAGCTCGCTTGTGGGGAGAAACACAAAAGCCAAATGAATCCCCAATCGATATCCCCCACCCGAGAAAAGGGTCCTCTCCATAGAGAGATAACTTGCAACTGCCCACAGGCCTGCGATGAACCCATCGACCGATAATCTATGCCCCATCGTCCCATCGAAGCTGATAAATTCTTAAATTCGAAACTGCATTGTCAGTTGACCCTGTCATGTTTATGGGCGATGGGTGATGGGGCAGGCCATGGCTGGGGGTAGCTCGTTTCCGCTATAAACCGGAAATTGCCTTTGCCACAGCAGGACATCAGCGCCAGGCAGAGGGTCCGGGCTCGGGGACGGCAGTTGTCTATGACACATAATAAAAATCACTAACAACTAAAAGCATAAATTGGGCTTTATTTTCATGGTCGGGCAGGCCAACGTCCGCATTCCATCCGCTGTGCTGGCCTCTTGTCAGGCCTTGTCTTGTGCCTCGTCTGCCCAGCCCCGGGGGGCGGTCATTAAACGGGGCTGGAAAGGCTTGTGTGTGGGACTGTGTACTTTGCATAAGGATATGCCGCATGTCCTTAAGCCATTCCTCCCTTAGAAGGCCTTATGCCCTGGCCAAGGGCATTTCATTTTCCAATCGAATATTTTCAATAGAATCTGTAGCGACATTGGAAAAGTGCGTTCTATTGAGTCCCTTGTAGCCCAAATATTAGTCTCAGATCACTGATAAAGGGTATCCACAATTCCCATTGATTCCCTCCCCGGATCTAAACTCCAAAAAGAGTTGTCTGCTGTGATTGCCAGCGCCCCATGTTTGGGGTTACTCGGTCAGGATTTTATGCCAGAAACGCGTGCCCATAAGGACACCACATGCCATGGCCCGCAGCTAGGGGAGTGGGAGGGCCGCCTGAATATTTATGAGTTGGCTTTTTATTAGACACCATTTTATGCGACACATGCATATAGAGGGGCTCTGCGGCGATTCATTTGCGATTTTTAATAAGATTTTAATGTGTTTGCCCCGAACCGAACCCCAAACTGATGAACTTCCTCCTTCTCCCGCAGGAAAGCCACGCGCCAAACGGTGGACGCCTGGCTGGTCTCACACGCCACCTCGGCCGGCAACGACGTGGTCAGCAGCACCTCCCCCACCCATCCCAATGGCCAGACCAGCTCCTCGCGGGGCGGATCCGGAGCCACCACGCCAGTGCGGTAAGTTTCCAAAGGGAGGCATTGCTCCGCTTGGGAGCATGCCGGTCCGGTCTACTGTTGCTAATTACACACGTTCTGTTTGCACGAACAGAGCTTGTATTGGCTTGTGAATGGCAAGATCATGTCAGACTCCTAATTTAGACTTTGTTTTCCCGCCGCCAGAAAAATCTCCGCTCACGAGTTCGAGCGCGGCGGCCTGCTGAAGCCCATTGTGAACACCATCGACGGCACGCCCACGTTCCTCAGCATCGCGCCCCAGATGGACAACGGCGGCGTGGGGGGCAGCTGCGGCAACCTGCAGACCGTCGGCGTGGGCCAGTATCAGTATCACCACCAGCAGCACCACCACCACAACCACAACAGCCACTACCAGGCGGGTGGAGCCGCGGGCAGTAGCAGCGCCGGCGGGATAACCCCTGGAGCTGTGGCCAGTGGTGGCAGTGGGAATGGCCACCAGTATCCGTACTACCATTGCCAGAGACCCCAGCGGCTGTCGCGCAATGAGCTGAAGCAGCTCGACGAGAAGGAGTTGATTTTCGAGCTGGTGAGTCGGTTATTACAAGGAAGTGATGAGCGGACTTTACAAGCCAATAAATACTGGAAACTCAGGCCATTAGATAGGAAATCGATTGTTTTCCGCGAATCTCGATAGTCGTATTGATAGAGTTCGGTAAACATGTTTGTTTGGCGCTGTTGTCCCGCCCATTGACGTTGTTATCGGCAAACACGCCGCAGACGTCACTCGATTCATAGCAAACAGTGTAGAGCCAACTAAGTTGCGAAAATTGCAATTGTTTAACCATCTATCAGGCTAACTAGTGCTAACTATAATTGGATCGAACTTCTCTCGCCCCCAGGTAAAGGACATCTGCAACGAGCTGGAGGTCCGTACGCTGTGCCACAAAATACTCCAGAACGTGTCCATTTTGCTGAACGCGGATCGCGGATCACTGTTCCTGGTGCAGGGACGCTGCAATGGTCCCGATGGCCTCAAAAAGTAAGTAGATGGTTTATGACTCCTGCTGGTCTTGGGGGATTAAGTCCCATTCTGCGTCCTCTCTCTTTAAATTATAAGAAAATGTCCTGACAGCATTCGTGGCTTCCCTGAATTTTGCAATCAAGTTACCCCCAAAAGGTCGTGCACTATTTTCAGCAATTTGTTGATGACTTCATTTAGCCGCAGCATTTCTGCGGACAATGTGGATGTGCCGTTGCCACAAAGGGATTCGAAAAAGGAGCTGGAGCAGGAGACGCCTCAGCTTCAACTTTGTCTTGGCAACATTTTTATAGCGTTTATTTTTGGCATTTTATGAGAGCAGTGCGTAGATGTCACAGCTCCAGCTCCGGTTCTAGCTCCTGCTCCTCTGACATGAATGCCATAACCCGTCGGAAGGGGAGGGGACGCTGGCAGCCATTTTGTATGCATCGTATGACGCCATTCTGCTGCCAACGCTAATTGCAATTGTCTGCACGCGCTCTGCCAAATGCATACTTCTGGCTAAAAGTTTCAGAAGCCAGCGGAAAAAGGAAGAGTATCAGGACACTGGGCCATAAATATTTGCCTCAACAGGACACTCTTTGAAAGAATTCTATAGCCCAGGATTAAGTGAGATGGCATCGTCCTCCGGCTTTTATTTTAAAGCATTATGCCTCAAGAATGTATATATTTAAGAGCCTTCTTCGCACCAACTCGCCTCTCAGTGAAGAAGCAAAAACTTGCCATTGTGTCCAGTGACAATAGACGCCGTCGCCTGCAACACAATTTATAATTTTGCAACTTTGGATTCTCATTCCGCAACCTCTTCTATTTCCATTGCAGATGCCTCGTCTCGAAGCTGTTCGACGTGTGCCCCCGGAGCACGGTGGAGGAAATGGAGCAGCAGGAAGAGGTGCGCGTGGCATGGGGCACCGGAATCGCGGGGCATGTGGCCGAGAGCGGGGAGCCCGTCAACATACCAGATGCTTACCAGGTCAGTACAGTGCGATCTTTTTGGGGAAAATTGACAAATTTGAATGCCAGTGCGGCAATAAATCAACCTCACTGGCTAGAGAGGAAGAAACCTCATTGCTAGAGAGGAAGAAACCTCATTCGATTGCAGGATTTATGGCGATGTGTGTGCTTGCTGCTCTTTAAGTTTTCAATATTGCTCAGTGAATCCAGTGGAGGCACCATCCCCAGCACCCAGCTCCGAGCGCTCAGCAGACTTTTCACATTTTCCTGCCCACTCCCGAGGCTTCCTTTTTTCGGCAGTTTTTCTTCGGCCTGTCTGCCAATTGGAGCGTAATTAATCTTTCGGCAGAAGACAAGGCCGTGTTAGGGGCCAGCATGTTATATCACCAAGATATGGAGTCCAAAGGTCTTTGCCTGTTTTCTTTTCCTCCACTCTCTGTTACGGCTTTAAGCTGGCTGGCTAACGATAACAATTGCGGCCACCCGACTTGTTTTCCCAAGTCATATTAAGCCAAGGGGTCCGTAGATAAACCCCCGAAACACTGAAGCAGAAACCCAGCCAAACACCGCAGCAAGTGACGCACAGAGGCACAGATCGCTCTTACCCGTGTGTAGATCTCCTGATTGTTAGCACAATTAATCAAGGCGGCCAAAAATTTGACACTTGCCGGTACCAGACAGCGCGACCAACAGATAACTCGGGCGCTAGTCCCCAGTGCGAATGAGTCGCATTGTGGTTAGACGGCCAGAGTCACGCTCGAGTGCAGATCTTTAGGCCAGGGCCCAGTCCCATTGGACTTTTGACTCGCCTAAGTAGCTGGCCAAACAAACCAGAGACGTTTGCGGAGCTCCAAAAATGGGTTGGGCTCTCGAGGCCTACAAACCAGGGGGATTAAAATAGAACATCCCCTGAAACATACAAGTGGGAAATGTGAGAAAGTAGGATAGACATTCTTTAACTCGGAGTTATGATAAAGAATCTTTAGAAGTAGTATCAGTAGTAGTTTTATTTTTAAACCCATAATTCAATCAAAATCCTATCAATATTCAAGTCACTAATCTAAAATTAATTAATCCGTTTCCACTTGGCTTCCTCCCACAGGATGAACGATTCAATTGTGAAATTGATTCGCTAACCGGCTACCGGACCAAGGCTCTGCTCTGCATGCCCATCAAGGACTCATCCGGGGATGTGATTGGCGTGGCGCAGGTCATCAACAAAATGAATGGCGAGTGCTTCTCCGAAATCGATGAAAAGGTGAGTGGATGGCGGGAATGGAAGTGCCACACGGAAGTGGGTGAATCGGGGCCATGTGGAGATCGCATGACGGGGCAGTCCGATGGGTTCTTTTGTTCCGAATAAAGCCGCATAAGAGCTGCACCCACTGCCACTGCCCCACGCCCCTCGTCGACTGGCAAATTGCATTCATTATTCAACAAAGGGGGAAACTTGTTAAGAAAGCTTAGCAGAATGTCAGACAAAATGCCATCAGGGATTATCCCCTCCTGACACACAAATCCATGTGAGTGCGTGCCAGAGCGACTCTCTCATAATTTTATGAAATTTTTCAACCTCTATTGCAGCCGCCATTGTGCTTTTTTGTGCCTTTTTGCTGTTTGAGTAATGTTGTTAATCCTTTGGCTTTGTGTAATCCCCGCCAGGTCTTTTCCTCGTACCTGCAGTTCTGCGGCATCGGGCTGCGGAACGCCCAGCTGTACGAGAAATCTCAACTGGAAATCAAGCGGAACCAGGTGCTCCTCGACCTGGCCCGGATGATCTTCGAGGAGCAGAGCACCATCGAGCACATGGTCTTCCGCATCCTCACCCACATGCAGAGTCTCATTCAGTGCCAGCGGGTGCAGATCCTGCTCGTCCACGAGGCGGACAAGGGCAGCTTCTCGCGGGTCTTTGACTTCGAGGCGAACGATCTGAGCGAGGAGGAGGCCACGTCGCGCACCAGTCCCTACGAGTCGCGATTCCCCATCAACATCGGCATCACCGGCCACGTGGCCACCACCGGGGAGACGGTAAACGTTCCGAACGCCTACGAAGACGATCGCTTCGACGCCAGTGTGGACGAGAACTCCTGCTTCAAGCACCGCTCCATCCTGTGCATGGCCATCAAGAACTCGCTGGGCCAGATCATCGGAGTCATCCAGCTGATCAACAAGTTCAATGAGCTGGTGAGTACTATCTTTGCCCTCCTCGAAGCTCCGATTAATACCAGCTTCCCCCACAGGACTTCACCAAGAACGACGAGAACTTCGTGGAGGCGTTCGCCATCTTCTGCGGCATGGGCATCCACAACACCCACATGTACGAGAAGGCCATCGTGGCCATGGCCAAGCAGAGTGTCACCCTGGAGGTGCTCAGCTACCACGCCTCCGCCACCATGGACGAGGCCCACCGGCTGCGGGTGAGTTAATGCCGGTCCGGAAGAGCACTGCCCGGAGTGCCACTACTTCAGGTTGCCGCCTGAATCGCTCTCGCGGGTGTCGTTGTTTTGGGGGCCAACTGAAATGCTTAATTTTATTTGCGCTCACTTAATTTGCGGACCAAGAGGTCGTCCACTACCACGCTCTCTCTCTGTTAATTTTTATGCGCAGCCATAAATTAATGGGTCCTGGAACGGGTCGGGTCTCCCGCGGTTGCATTGTCTCCTGTGCGGGCCCGGGCCTCCGTGCTTTTTATTCCTCTATTACTTCTGTGTGACAGAAACAGCAGCAACAAGCTGTCGCTTTTAGTGGCGCCCCTTGCGCCGCCCCTTGCTGGCTGTGCCAGCGTGTTGACAGTTGTAATTAGTTTGTTCGCACAAGTATGACAAAAAGAAACTTTTCTCCTCGCTGCGAACCTGAAGCTGCCTCTGTGGATGTAGGAGCGTGAGTCTCTCCGCCGGACACTCTGTAATTATGCTGGGAAAATTATGACCGCCTGTCGAGTTGTCAGCCAGACAAAGATGTCGGGTTATTAATTTTAATTAAAATTATGCCACACTAGGCTTTGTTTCCCCGGGACGAGGCAGATCCTTTTTTCCGGACGGCCTCCATTGTGGGTGCAATGGCGGAAAGTGTCAAAAATTTTGATAAACTTCTCGGCTTTGGTGGCTGATATTGCGCCATTTCCAGCCACTGACAGCAACCAGATGAGGGTCTGAGGACTAACAGCTTTTCATTTCTCCCTTGGCGGCATCTTGAGATCCAACACGTGCTCTTTCTTTCTGGATTCACTTCCCAATGAAACAAAATATATTAAATTAAATCGTTTGCAGCGTCTGCGGGTCCCCTCAGCAGTTCATTTTCGGTTGCACGACTTCAAGTTTGATGACATCCACTTTGAGGACGATGATACATTGAAGGTAAGGTCTCACTTCCTGCAAGGAACTACATAGAATAACATCCTTTCTCCACTTTAGGCCTGCCTGCGCATGTTCCTGGATCTCGACTTTGTGGAACGCTTCCACATCGACTACGAAGTGCTGTGTCGCTGGCTGCTGAGCGTCAAGAAGAACTACCGCAACGTCACCTACCACAACTGGCGGCATGCCTTCAACGTGGCCCAAATGATGTTTGCCATTCTGACGGTAAGCCCATTATATGAATTCATATTCGGATGTCTGTTTATTATAATTCTGGCCCTTGTAGACCACTCAGTGGTGGAAGATCTTTGGCGAAATCGAGTGCTTGGCTCTGATTATTGGCTGCCTGTGCCATGATCTCGATCACCGCGGAACCAACAACTCCTTCCAGATAAAGTAAGTGATGGGAAGATAAGGCTACAACAACATCTGACAATTGTCTCTCCACAGAGCCTCTTCGCCGCTGGCCCAACTATACTCCACCTCCACCATGGAGCACCACCACTTTGATCAATGCCTGATGATCTTGAACAGTCCCGGCAATCAGATTCTGGCCAACCTCTCCTCAGACGACTACTGCCGGGTCATAAGGGTGCTGGAAGATGCCATTTTGTCCACTGACTTGGCGGTCTATTTCAAGTGAGCTAAGACAACTGTCCAATCCGAATCTGTAATCCATTTCCCACTTGAACTAATCAGAAAACGAGGCCCGTTCCTGGAGAGTGTGGAGCAGCCGCTAAGTCATTGGGTGGCCGAGGAGCCACGCGCTCTTCTGCGGGCCATGAGCATGACTGTCTGTGATTTGTCGGCCATCACAAAGCCCTGGGAGATCGAGAAGCGGGTGGCCGACTTGGTTAGCTCGGAGTTCTTCGAGCAGGGCGACATGGAGAAGCAGGAGCTCAACATTACCCCCATTGTAAGATATTTTGGCAAGCATGAGATCGCATATACATTATCTCTCCCTTTTTCAGGACATCATGAATCGAGAAAAGGAGGATGAGCTGCCCATGATGCAAGTAAACTTTATCGACTCCATTTGCTTGCCCATCTATGAGGTTAGTGGGATTAGTTCAGTGTGAGATCCTATTCATTACCATCCCTATTTGCAGGCCTTTGCCACTCTCTCCGACAAGCTGGAGCCTCTTGTCGAGGGTGTACGGGACAACAGGGGCCATTGGATCGATCTGGCCGATGTTGTCAAAACCAAAACTAGTCAGGATCAAGAGCCACACGATCGGGCTGAAGAGCGGATACAGGATCAGCAAAATGTGATATCGAACGGGGACTGCAGGGCAATGAGTGATGATGATGTGGCAGTGGAACCGGAGCCGGCCGAGCAAATAAGCGTAAATGGCCTCAACCTAGCCAACAGCTGCACCACTAATAACAACATTGCCGTCGCTTCTCGTCCCACCAGCACCAGCACCCAGCAGCCCAGTGATGATGATGATGATGCGGAGCAGCAGCGCCAGAAGCAGCAGAATGGACATGACGATGGCGAAGTGGAGTGTCACCTGTCTAACAGTAGCTGCAGCTCATCCACCGCATCTAGTCGCCTCTCCACGCCACCGCCCACCGGCGAGGATGACAGCACTCCCGTGTCGCCCTCGAAAACGCTGCAGGCCAAGTTGGTGGTGAATGCTCTCCAGCGGCAGACATCCGTCGGCCAGGCGGGGCAGGCAGCCCAGAAGCAGCGCTGCAAAAGTTGCGAACAATCCCGCACCGGACTTCAGGTGAGAAAGACGAGTTCCCTGCGTGGAGCCCTGGAAATGGACAGTCTGGACAGCAAGGCCAGGAATGGAAACGCTGCTGCTCTCTGCAAGAGCACGCCAGTGATTCATCACCAGAGTCATAGTCATCACAATCACCACCACCACCATCATCATCATCACTCGCATCACGCCCACGGGCAGCACGGGGTCGGGATTGGCAGTGCCAGCATCGGAGGCAGTGGGCTAATTAGCCTGGCTACCCCTCTGCTGGCTACGACAGAAAGTGATAGGATACCAAAAATTGTGGGAAAAATCGGAAATCTCGACGGTCTGCCCTTTGCCAACGGCATTGGAAGTGCCCAGAACGGCCACGGGCTGCCCTTCGGCACCTATCAGCATCAGATTCATCATCATCATCACCATCACCTGCTGACACGTCGTCATTCAGAGACAAACAGCAACGGGGCCACTGCAGTGGCAGCCGAAAAGTAAATGCATACCAATCTGTTGTGCGTCCAAAAGCAGGAAGGAAAGAGCAACTAGAATTTGCACTGGTTTGCGGTTTCAAGACGATAGCTTAAAGGTCAAAGTGTATGCATCTACGCATTGAGTTGATTGGCCAAAAGCAAACAGAATACCGCAAAAGCATTGTCGTTAAAATTCCAGTGATTCCGACTATAGGTCACAACCACAAAAACCCTTCAGGACCACTTAAGCCTATCTTCAATATGTACATAGTTCTATAACCTTCATCGCAACCACACAACCACAAAACTCTCATATTGTACATAGCATCTATATTTTGAGAAGCAGTATCGCAGTTCAGTAAAAACTGATTGTGTGGAGCAGAACATACCATAAGTAAATTGTGGCACCGCAATAGCCTGCAACTAAAACTATATAGAAAGATTCCTATAAAATATGTAAATCGTATATATACCTATGTATGTGTAGATTTTGATCTGTGCGTGTCTGTTTATTCGTAACTTGAAGTTTAGTTTTTACAATACCGTCGGCGTTAGTTAAATGATAAAGGAAAGAAGTCAAATTCTCTAGATGTTTAAGCACCATGCGTACAGCATAAAAGCAAGAAATAACTTAAAATTTTACCAAAAATGGCTTAAATTAAACAAATACATCAAATGAAAGTATTGTAATATCCGCGAGACACATACATATATGAATACGATAACACTGTATAACTTGTAATCGTTAGTTGAATTATCTCTATGGGTACCAAAAGTCTAACTTTAGTAGCATAAACCTAAACCAACCGCTTAGTGATGATGTTAGCTGTCGAGTAACGATAAAACGAACCGAAACGCGAACCTAGATAAGAGTACATATAACCATCCTTAAATCACCCGAAAAGAAAACAAACACTAAGCGCTTTGACTTGTTCCACTCTGCGCTCTATTCGAATTTAAATAATTGTAATGTTATGCGATAATAATGAATACATATTTGTATCTGTGTACGGTCTTGGTGGCCTAATGGGTTGGCCAACTATGGAAAACCCTTGGCATCCAGTGTGTCCTGGGCCTATAATCAGCACGTTAAACGTTCTGTGTCTAGCTTGGGCTAACTGCTCGTACATATTCTGCAGATGCATCTATATGCAATACATATAATCCTTTATTAAATTAAAATGTACTTTGTGAGTTTTGTTATTTATTGTCAGCGTTATAATGGAACCTATCCAAAAGGCAAAACTAAATAAAGCAAGAAAATGTCTCTCTTTGGGAAAGCGAATTTTCCTTATTTCTACTAAATTTCAACGATTTTACTGAATTTTTTTTTTTGATTTTTCAGGGGTTGCTATTGCTGTAGGTGCAAAAATCAATTTTCTATGCTTTTAATTAAAACACAAGTAATTTTTTACAGATTTGTTTATTAGCCTTACATAGATCGATATGCATTGATATGTTTAGTTATAATATAGCATCGTAGTCATGCTCATGAATTAGTTTTCGGGCCTGCTTAATTTACGATTTACAAAAGTAACTTGAAGCCTAAATAAGAATTTAACTAGACAGCAATTACCGGTGGTAACTGCTTCATGATGAAGCCGAGTGGTTGTGTTTCCGCGACAGATTTTCACATCCTGGTTGGGCAGTCGAAAAGTCTTTAGGTAAGCAAAACAATTAAGAAACTTATGTACAAACGCACTAGTTTGTTACAAAATGCGTCAATAATAATGGTGTTTGTGTACTCCGTCGATACGTTTGGTCCGCTTAGAGGGAGGCAATGAAGGGGGTCAGATCAGGAAACTTGAAGAGGTTTTGGTTGCGGGAGCGGGTAACTCTGGGCTGAGCTTGGCCCTGACGTTGCTGGGCATTGAATCCACTAGCCTGCTGGCCGGTCAGATAAATTCCACACTGAGAGTTGCACACCTCATCTCGCAGGATAGCATCCTTGGGCCACTGGCGGATCAGCTGGCCGCAGTCGGTGATTCGCAGGGAGGCGCACTGAGCCTGAAATCGAAATAAATACCTTTAGTATGCATTTCTTTAATTGAAATATTTGTACTTACCCCCTCAGCTGAGCACACACAACTGGTGCAGGGCGATGGGAAGGCGGACTCTCCAACACGCACGTTGCGGTTACCAATTTGGCAGCCTTGGACGTTCTCCCGCCAGGCGTTAAGATCAATCTGGGGCATTGAGGCACAAGGCACACGCGGATTCCTAAAGTAATGGATTAAATTATTAAAAATTGATATAAAAGAAGTAACAAGAATCTTACAAGAAATTGCTTGGCAAGTCGAAGGCAGCACGCTGCATGTCTCCGGTGACCTCCAGGTTTTCGCACACGATCTTGGCCAGAGTCACCTTGCGGATCTCAGCCAGCTGAGCTTCCGTAAACTTAACCTCCGGGTTTTGATTTTCGTACCAGAAGCGATCGCACTTGCGCAGCTGTCTGAACTGGATGCCAATGATGCAGGCTAGGGTGGGGCCCACTAAACCACCTTGCAGAGGACGCTCCGTCATGGCACCAGGGAATAGATCGATATCATCCACGCTGGCATAGACCTTTTGGAAGCGATTAATCACCTCGGTGGGGATTTCACGGCTCAGATCGTTCCAGTTGGTGGCGCGTTTCAGATTGCAGAGGGCACGGTAGTTGTTGTAAGAAGGAACACCGTGATCGCGAGCTAAGGAAAGACAGACATTAATTACTATGTCAAGAGAGATGGAAAGATAGGCTCACCTCTCTGGATGTTAAGGGCAATCAAGTCGATGCCGGAGAACGGAATCTTGCGGTCCTCGAACAGATGGTTGGTCACCTCGCCGGTAATGAACTGGTCGAGGGTTTCCATTGGGGTGGCGACTAAACCACGCAGGATCTCATCGATGATTCCGGGCTGCAGCAGAGCGTCCATGCGGAAGAATCCATCGCGGAGCAGTAGTGGTGGCTCCACAGGCTGGTGCTGGACACTCAAACGCGGGATGTGGGGACGCAGCAAGGAATGACCAATTCGGAAGGCAGCGGCGGCAAACTCGTTGAAGACAATTGGGGAACAGGATGGGTTGTAATCCTTGTAGTATCCTTGTGGCAGCAACTTTAATCCGTACAGGTTCACTGCGTTCCAGCTGAGAATGCGGGGCAGGAACTCGTTGAACACGGTGTGCTGCACCTGGGCACTGACAATTCGACGGGCGTGATGGAACAACTGCTCACCGTTCCAGTGGGGGTTCACTCCGCGCAAGCCTTCGACAATTCGGTTGTGTTCGCGCAGGAAGGCGGTGTGGATGGCGGTCAGACCTGGCTGCTCGGAGGCACGGTCGTCACCGCCCAGGAAGCAGAGGCCGTTGCGGGATTTGCACTCCGGGTGGGGACCCAATGGCAGGAGTTCCTTACCCCTTAGCTGGGTGCTGTTCATCCGGCCAGAGAATCCTCGCAGCTTGTTGGACAAACAGTTGGTCTCTCCGTACACCATGGATGCGTCAAGGAAGTGGGTGTTCTGGTTGATCTGGTCACGAGGACCCAGCGACTGCTGGCCCGGCAGCGACCTCATGGAGGGGAAGCAGAAGCGCTCACCACTCGTTACATTCACCTCCGGGTAGTAGAAGTCTCCTGCTGGCACTGGGAAGGGGTTGCACTCAGGGTGGACAGTCTGGCGGGAGTTGCAGGACCGGCAGCTGGGAATCGACTCGTGGAAGCCTTTGTGAATCGGCGTGAGGGTCAGATCGTGATCCACAAATTGGGCGAACTGCATCACCATCAGAGAGTAGCGGGTGTGCAGATTGGAAATGTCCGGGTGAATCGTAGTGGAAATAGTTCTGGGATTTGGCAGTGGAGAACCTGTCACTCCAGTGATCCTGGGTGCCGAGATGCCATCCTCATACTGAGCCGGCAACAGACGGGAGAAAGTGGTGAGCGACTTGCCCCAGTTGGGGTTGCGCAGATTGTTGCACCTTCCCGACAGAGTTCGGAATGGGGTGTTGGCATCACAGGCCGTCTGGGGCTCCGGGCACTCATCGATATGCTTTTGGGCGCCACCGAGCAATCCGCTAATGTCCACGGTTTGCAGGGTTTCAGACAGCTCGTTGCGGTTGAAGGCGTTCTGGTTGGGATTGAAGATCTGACGCTTGCGCCTGGAGATGTGGTTCAGGGTCTTGACAATTTCGTTGGAAGTCAGCTCGAAGATGAGGGAGGAGTTGGCCAGGTTCAACGCAGCCAAGTTGGCCTTGCTGAAGGAGGCGGCGGTGCCATCGGGCGATTTGGCGCTAATGCCACCCTCTAAGATAACGAATGAAATGTTTAGATTATTTATTTTAACATTTCAGTAATAAATTTCAAACTTACGTGTACGCCACACTTCGTACTCGAATCGCTTGCGTTCTTCCAGCTCCTGCTTGGCACGCTCAACGGCTGCCTCAATAAGCTCGGGACTGAGCTCAGCAATTGCCTCCTTGGTGTCCGGTTCCACCTCCACATGATCTACATGGACCTCATCCTCGGGATTTACCTGCCAGGGCTTCAAATCGAATTGCGGCAGCTGGGTGCAGTCCAAAACAGAGTTCCTATTCGAAAATGCTTGATCAGGTTTTGGATTTCGGAAACCACATTGGGAGTAACTTACAGGTAGTTGTCCTCCAGAATGAAGGCCTTGGACTGGGCCGTGCTCACTTGATGGGAGCCGCAAAGCAGGCCTGACAGCGAGGTCTGGCGGATGCTCTTCAGTTGCTCCAGGGTGAAGGAAGAAGGCGGAATCTCGTTTTCGTACCAGAAGCGGTCGGTTTGCTTGAGTTGCTCGAACTGCAGAGTCAACAGGCAGCTAATAGTGGGTCCGAACAGGGCACCTACCGCGGGCTCCTCCAGGAGGGCACCCACCAGCAGGTCAATGTCTTCGGCGTTTCTAAAGAGAACATGGTTTAAATTTAAATGTTTCATCATATGATGGTGAAGCTTACTGGTAAATGTCACGCAGATTGGTGATAAACTCCTCGGGGATATTGGTCACCTGGGCTAGCTTGTCGAAGGTAACATTGACCGCCTGCTCGGGGAATCGACGCTCGCACAGATCGAGGGCATGCACATACGAGGCCACACCATGATCGCGGCCTCGGTGGACGGCCAGGGCCAACTCGGACCAACCCTCGGCGTTTATCTGGCTGGGCACCAGGGACTTTTGCAGGGCGGCGATGGAGAGAAGCTCGTGGGCGGACATCTTCTTGGCCAGCATCTCGGGTGGGTACATGCTCCAGAAGGCGGGCATGGCGGCGGTAGCGAACTCGTTGTAGATGCCTCCTCGCACAGAACTGGAGTAGTTGCTCGAGTGCTTTTCGGCGGTCAGCCGGAGGCCCTCCTTGGCGGTGGTTTCCTGGCCCAGGACCAGGGGCAAGAACTCGTTGTAGGTGATGTGCTGGATGGTGGCAGTGATGATGCGTCGGGCCTCCAGGAACACGTCCTCCTCGGACCAATCAGGGTTGATGTGCGCCAGGCGCTCGCCAATATTGTTGTGCTGCTGGAGGAGAGCGCGATGCAGCGCTCCCGTGGCTCCGGCCACTTGGCAGTACTTGCAGGACTCCACCTTGACACCGCCGCTGATGTAGGTGCGCAGTTGGTCGAATTCATGACGGGTTAATCCATAGAGTCCGGAGCCATCAATGAAGGCGGAAGCGACGTTCATCTGTTCACGAGTGTCTGCAAAGGAAAAATGGTTTACTGTTAATGAACTTCATGGAAAATACCTCTCAACAGCAGATATTAGAAAAATACTTACGTTTTTGGCAAGCCTCAGCATCGAATCCAGGAGCGGACCGCTTGTACTCCTTGCAGTCAGGTCCAGCACGAACAAAGCATTGCTGCAGCTCGCTAGGATCCTTAACGGCCGAGTCGCGCTCACAGCACTTGCCGGAGATCGGGAGCTGGGCCACCTCGACCAGGTCGTTGGCCAGCAGCTGGCCCCAGGCGGGCAGCATGGCAGTGATGTGCTGGTGTCGCAGCTCGCCCTCCACGTGGCGTTGCAGCTGCTCTATCACCAGCTCGGCATCGGGCAGGGCGTGGGTGCCCTTGGAGCTCCTGGGCTGGCTCACTCCGTCGGCGTAGTCGGCCTGCAGCAGGCGCTGGAAGATGTCGCCGCGGGCGCCCCACTTGCGGTGGGACACATTGTTGCACTCGGCGGTCGGCTGGCGGTACTTGCTCGGCGGGCAGACGTCGTACTCGTCAGTGACATGGCCCTCTCCGTCCGAGGAGGTGCCGCATTGGGTCAGCAAGCGTGCTCGCTCGGAGCGCAGGGCATTGATGGCGGCATTTTCGAGGTCCTCGGGAATGCGAAGGGTCAGACTGGGAGCGCAGAGGCACCTGGAAACAGTAGGTAAAGGTCTTAGGTTAGTAGAGAATAAAAACGCTGATGATATAAGGAATAGAATGGTATAACACGGAAGCTCTGAACTATTAGTCATCCTCGCTATCCTACTGGCTTTACCCGAAGACTTTCTGGCGGGTTTTCCTCACACGTTCGTATCATTATTTACCCCGAAAGCCCAATGACCACGTGTCATTAATTTACAGGGAGTCGTCTCCGTTTCATTCATTCATCGGCTCTCGTTGCATTTTCCGGCATTTAATTACAAGTTTTTTCACACCGCCGTTGTTTGCTCACACCGTTAATTAAACGAGGCAGGGAAAACGAAACTGAAAACTGCAAACTGAAAACTTTGAATGCATGGTAATAATAATATGAATAGACGTGAGCGAGGAGGAGGCGTAAGCTCTTCTGGCTAACCGGATACGAGAAACGTCTGTCGAACTAATCAATTTCGAATTATGAACAATGACGACGTCTGTCTGAAGGCAGGCAGTGTTCAACTGCCCCAAAAAGGCTTTGGCTGGCTGGCTGATTGACTGAATGACTTACTGCCTAACTGAATGAGCGACTGACTGAATGGCTGCTTGACTGGCTTATTAAGCCGCACTTTGTCGGCCTGTCATTATGTTCTATTGATTTCGGCCAGCCGAGGCGGCTCACGTGACGGAGTTTCTTTTGTTGCGCATTGACATTATTTTTGGCTTCGAAATTAAAGTCTTTTGTCATCAGCCACGGTATGCAATTTATTTATGGTCTTGACGTCAAGACCAGAGAAGATTATGCAACGATCTGCAATCTGCCAGAACGTGGATGGGGCTGTGGATGTGGGCGTAGAAGATCCGCTTTAGAACCCGCCTAATGGGTAAACGTCCTCACCTTCCCCTACATAAATTCTGAACTCGAGAACGGGCCGTCGCCAAATGTATTCAATCCAAGTCGCTTTTCTGGTTTCTGTTTAATTGGTTTTATTTTGGCTCTTTTTATTGAGTTATAAATATATATATATTTCGTTAAACACTCATTTGAGAGTTGAACGTAATTTGTGGTATTTCGTTCGGGTGTTTAGACGATATGTTCAAGGCTACTTTTGGTTTGTTGGAGTCTTTCAAGCGCCCGCTTGAAGGTGTCTAAGCTTTAGAGATTCCCGACACTTCGAAGATTATAGAAGACTATGCTGAAAAGCCTCATAAATCAGTTTATAGCCACTTCAGGAAACATTTGGCTAATGAGTGAATAGCAAAGCTTCATTACTCAACGGCTTACCAAATCCGCGCGATTGCATGGACTCCCCTGACTATTCTTGCTCGAAAGAAATGCCTCGTGAAGTAACAATTACCAAAAATAATTCATAATGCGATTACTCGCCGATCGCCCAGGTGCGTGGCTGCCCATTGCGGCCAGTAGGTTCCATTGGCCAACATTCAGGCACTCGGTTGCCCGGCAATTGGGACACACAATTGCCAAGTTAATTTATTTATAGCCAGGTTCGGGGTACGGGCAGTCCCCCTTCACTGTACTTTTTGCAGAACTTGACTGCCGTCACGTCGCTCAAAAACTAAATAAATAAAATAAAGAAACAGACTAGCCCGGAGCTGAGCTTGAAAGCGAAAGCAGAAGCCCCGACAAGTGCTGGCAATTTTCATTTGTTTGTTTATGACTCTTTATGCGGAGCCCGGAGCGGGTAGCCTGGTATTTATGTCACAGCTGGGCAGGCTGAAATGCAAAAATGTGTGTCATGCCTTCGCCGCTGATGGCACCCATTAAACAAACAAATACGAGGAACCAGCCAGCGGCCGCACAGAAACCGCAAATAGAAATGCTCGGCACACGCGGCGTATACGTTATTTAACAGCATTTTTTATTTTTTCGTTTATATTGAGTGCTGTTTGTTGGAGTCCAAATGGGCGAACGAATTAAATAAATCAAATATTGAAAATGAAAGTTGATGTTGGACTTATCAAACGGAAGCAAGAGCTCCCAGTCCGAGCCGAGATTTGAAGAGACGCCCAACTTGGTTTGGGTGGGGAATTTTGGGATTTTGGATGATGAGCGAGGTAGTTGCTTGAACTTGTTTAGCGAAATTTATTTGTTTTGCTTGACATTTATGTGACTGGCTCGGCTCAGCTGACTGGTTGGCAAACGGAAACAGCAGCCAGTATGGAAATAACAGAGTCTTGAAATTTATAAGAATTTCGATTGAGTCAAATTCCCCGTAAAAATCAAACTTCATTATCGGTCGAATCAGAAACTCTGGGGTTAAGATACCAGGAGCCATTTGCATTTTGCTTACTGGGCTTCACAGTAACTAGTTAGTCACAGCAATTACAAAACACGTGAGTAAGAATAGCAAAAATACCGAATGCACATGTAACAAGTCAAACCAGTTGGGGAAAAGAGCTGATGCCGATGCCGATGGCGAGATGATGCTGATGAACGCGTGCCAATCCTAAAATAGTTGACTTTTGTCTGACAATCAAGACTCTGCTTGCATAAGCCTATAATTTATCATCGCTAATAGGAATTATTCAATAAAGACAATTACATTGCATGGATAGCTGGGAGTCCAGGCAATTATGCTGTTTGCAGTGCGATTTGCATAAATTCCTAGCCACTTGGCGAGTTGCCGATAAGCGATTTATGTTTAATTTGCAAGTGCCGAGAGTTCGGTAGCAGTGCGCAGCTGGGAGTCACGAATTAATTGTCTGTGCAATTCATGAGTTAAGTGGCCTTAGATAAGGCACTACCCACACAGCACAGATCACAGAGCATAAGCGGCTTTGCAGCGGGAATGGAAGCCTCCGATCACCCGCAATCGCGTTTGCGCAATCAGCTGGCAAACAAAAGACTTAGGCAACAAACTTGACTCGCGGACTCAATTGCCAAATCATGCAGCGGCGTTCAGAGCAGTTGTAGCAGTTGATCGACACCGTTGGAAAATTATTTATGGCTCCGAAGAAGGCCCACACAAATGGGTTACTGTGGCACCCAAGCCGCTTAAGACCTAAAGCCGAAAACTGAACAACACCCGATTGCGGAAGCTACGGATTGCCTGGCATGCGCATTACTCATTCCGCCACTAAAACCCCTGACGAACGGTCGTTTGACGTCGCATTTTCATTATCAACAATTCGCAGCCGCCTCACAGCCTGGACAAATATGCAGACATATGTATACTTGTATACATGCTTCCCTCCGTGTTCATATATCTTATGTATATGTCTGGCAACACCCATTGGCACCCATGTCTTGCTGCAATTACTCCAAGGCACGTAGCGTCATCGTCATGTGACTTTGCACATGATTTCCTACCTCCTACCACCACTACCACCGGCAGAAAAGAGTGGCTATACAACTCACTTCCACCATCGCATGAAACAAGACAAGAAAGCGAAAGTATTTTACAAAAAAGAAGACTTTCAAATACTCTTTTAGTAGGGCTTTGTAGAAAAATATGTTGTGAGTCGAAATGAATAACTATTAAGAAAATCTCAGAGCAAAGTAAGGGCAGAGCTTCTTCCAAAAATTCAAAATTAAAATAGAGAAAAATGCAAGTCTCAAAGAAGTCCAAACACCCAAAAAACAAGCTGGCCTGGTCATGTGATCAACCAGCCACCTACACTCCCCCAAACGTTTTTTTTTGTTTATCGCCCAGTCATCGTTTTGGTTTCTTTGGCGCTGCATTGCACCGTCGGTTTCTGGGCTCTTCGAGTTGCACAATTCGAAGGAGTAACCTCGTAGAAAAACACCAGAGGAAAATCTACCTTTTGATTGAATATAGTAAAGGGCCCATCTATTATTTACTCAAATTTTTGGATAGCGAACGAAGATGGCTCGAGATGTGCACACAGAAAAATTTCAAGTGCACTTCATTAACATAATGATCATTGCCACAAAGAGCAGTGGCAGCAGCCACATCGAATGCAGGCAGGCATGATGCAATTTTCATGTTTGCCTCTTTTCCAGTGACGTTCATCGATGTGGCTTCAAATATTTGTTACATTGCCAAGTCTGATGTGGTTAGATGCACTGAGAAATGTAAGATGCATTTATCAAGCTGGCGCTTTATATTTTTTGAAACTTGTATTTTCTTTTTTTTAAGTGGATCTGTGGCAGTTGAACGTCAGCCAAGAGGCGTGAAGATCATAATTCTATGCGAGTGTGTGTCCCCAAAGGGGCCGTTGCTTTTTACGGCAAGAAAGTGTAAACGCTGGCAAAGTCACGCGCCACAGGTACCACACAGCACCATACACTCAAAGAAAAAACAAGAAAACATTCCCAACACAGACACACACATGGACTGGGTACGAAAAGCGGGCGTAACTTTCGTTTTCATTGCGAAAGTGCATACAACTCGATGTTGGTCAACAGTTCGGGTTTTTGTTTGTTTCTTGTTTTCTGTGTTTTGTTTTCTACAGGGTGTTGCCTGCTGCATGCAAATCGAACGCGATAGAGTGCGATTTTCATTTGGTTTACGTGCGAGTGCCAGTCGGTTACTGCCACCAAGGTCGCAGCAGAGTTAGGCAACCGGCGACCCATTTGGCAAACAGCAAAGGCCACGCCGGCTAATCGGCCAATTTCTGGCTCCCTAAGAGCCACATGAATGCGACAAAAGACCAACTGATTTGGGCATAATCGTCGGATAATACCCCAAAAGTGGCAACACACCCAGCTGTGTGTGGAGAAAATTTACAGGGCAACCAAGGCAGAAAAAATCTGTGAAAATTTCACGGGCCGTTTACCATAAAATGTGAGAAAGTGAAAAGGGGATGGGGACTCATGTATAAATTTAAATGAGGGAGTGTTTATGGACTCTACTGGTACACCTGTGATTTCTCGTAACCATCCTTAGTGTCATCTTCATGGGACTTGCGTAAAAAAATGCAACCTGTTCGAGCACCTTGAAATGGCGGAAGCCGACAGCTGTTATCTGTGAGCAAGTGTCAAAAAAAAACCTCAAAAGGCTCTTTAAAACTTCATCTGAAGAGCTAGGCACATTAACAAATATTCGGTTCCGTGGTTCGAAAAAAATTACTCAAAAAAACCGACAAAAACGAGGCCCAGTCAAGCCTGTTGGCCACTTCATCCTGAAGTTGATTACGTCTTCGTCTGCGGCCAAAAAAACACAATTTCACTCTCGACAGTTCGGCGTTTTTATTTAGCTTTTGTACTTCAGCTCTTAAGTTTATTCACGGATGCTCTTAGCAGTTATGCTTTCAAGGGAGGGCCCCTCGAGGCTAGTTTTTTTTGGGCCACAGAAAATAAAGAACTCTGAAAAGTGAGCACGGAGATATGGGATATGTATGGGACATGTGTTTTTGGCAAAATGTGTTTCTCTAGAGAGTCAGGCAAACAATTGATTGGTTTTTTTCGTGGACATGTCCTCTCGATTCAGTTTCATTTTGGTTTTTTCGGGGTAACCCGTTTTCGGGGCACAGGTATGTAGATACACACGAAGTGGTCAGACAGGCGCTGCTACAGTTGGACACTCGCAGAAACATTTGTGCGAATCGAATTATTCTCGGCGGGGCAAAACAAGTTGAGCAACGGCTTCTTGATTTATGGAATAGCTTGGAATTGGCCAACGACAGAGTTATGCATGCTCTCCTCAGGGTCAACCACTACAGATCTGCATGACAGTGACTGCCTTTCACCAGGAAACGGGGGACGAAGAAAAGGAGTTCTCCCAGCAGGCCACATGTCACGGCCCACGGCCCACGGCCCACGGCCCACTTGCCAATAAGTTTATTCAACTTTTCACTAGACCAACTTTCGGTCCGTTCCGATCTCTCTGCCGCGCGGACAAACGATGATTAATTAGTCAATATATTAGGATCATGCATAAATAAAAAACGTGTCTTGGTCTGGCAGAAATGCGATAGAAACAAATATGATAAATGACGGACCGCCGAAAGACGGGCGAAACTTGCAAATTAAATTACAAAAACACATAAAAAAGCAACCAATTCTCGACCAAGAGAACTTAGAATTTGGTTTCAGTTTCAGCCTTGAACTCGTCGTTCTGTTTGGTTAATTACTTATTTATCATACACACACGAGCTAATTGATTTTTAAGCAGTTCTAAACACACAAATAACATAAGCTAAATCTCGACTAATTCCAGGCACCCATACCTACATTTCTGAGGACAAGGAGGCGGCGCCGGTGTTAATTTAAATTTCTGTTTCAGTTTCTGCTTGGTGCTAATGGATGTGTCCGAAATAGATTAATCGCAGCGATTGGGGCAGATGTTTTGCGAGAAGAATGCAGGAAGAACATGTTTCAAAAACTATGATAAATAGTGCTCTCAATAATTAATTGGCTGCAAAAAAACATACATATTCCCAACTGGTCACCTATTATTATATCATTTTATCTGTTTTGTGCCATCACTTCCACTTACATCCGCGTTGGCCTTCTACTTGCCGTCCGAAGACTCAAGTTCGTTGCCTAAGTCTTTCGTTTCATCAGCCGGCAAACCTACGCCTGTGCTCCAATATACTCGGCTTGCAAAAATCATAATTAAACAATCCATAAATTGCTGCTTTAGGCCATGTCCGGTGACAACTTGCCTTGACAACAAATTCCGAAAAGTGGTAAAAATGCCTGTTATCTCGCGATGTGCGTTAATGCTGTAAAGCACTCGACAAAACTTTTAGCAAGAATTCTGCGGCGACAACGACGCCGAGTCGGATTTAAGTGACTTAAGTGTGTCAAACAGACAATGTCAGCGGCAGTCGTCGGCACTTGTGCTTAATTTGCCTGAGCAATCAAGCTGCTCGGCTGCATTCTGAGCCTCGCCGCATGACTAGGCCAAAGAAGTCTCTGAGCCAAGCTGTTGGCCAAGGCCTCCCAATGAGATGCTAGCTCCTAGCTGGGCTTGATCAGATCGGAGGATTATCTAATGGCTTGCATAACTCGGCGGCACTCCGAGTTCCAATTTGCATAACTTACACACACCGATTAACACAAAAGCGTCAAATTAATGCGAGCAGCAGTGATAGCAGCCAGCAGATAGTCGATAGCAGAGGAGAAAACTTTCTACACTTAGCGGCCGGCTGTTAAAAATTGATTCACAAAATCTGTTAATTAAAAGTAGGCTCGCGCTGCGTCTAGGCTGCGGCTACCTCCGTCCGTCATCAATAAAATCTAATTAATTGCAGGCCTAAAAATCGGATACGCCTGCCAATTATGTAAAGTTTTATGCCTAGCTTTGGTTTCTTTTCTTTCTTTTTTTTAATTTTTTATTTGGGATGCCTACGCTGGAAATTATGTCAATGCGGTTAACACAGCGAAAAGCGCGGACTGAAAACGAAAATAAAGTCATGATTATGTAAGCGTTCCAAAAACCACCTGGCACGACACACAAACATAAAAAGCGAAAAGAGTCTTTTGTTGCCGCTACTTGGTAGCCTCGCTGACAACTTTTTCTCTTCGATTTGCTTTGGCATCTTCCCATTCCCAGTCTCAGGCTCAGACACAGTCCCAGTTTCAGTTTCAGTTTCAGTGCCAGAGAGTGAAAAATGAAAGTGAAACTTTTCAGCTTCCAAATTGATTTTTCATCACTGAGCAAAGAAATGCAAGTCGGACCGATATTACATGACCGCGCCACTGCCTCGATCAATAAATATTCATGCCCATTAGTATTCAGATACATTCCTCTTCATAATCAGACGAGCGGTGTGTCCACCTTTGTCATAATGCCAATTCTTGAAGACTGTTTTCGATTTTCGTTTTTATTGTTAATGAAACGCCTCAAGGATGGCTTCAACGGGGAAGTCAAATGATAAGCTGACTCTGTCAATCTCTGACTTCCGTTGACGCTTCTTGTTGAACTCGAACTCGAGTCGTAGAAAACTCATGATTAATGATGCTCAAGTCTCAGCCCCAGCCGGCCAAAGCTGCCGAATTGTTTTGCGAGCCTTACAAACTATAATTTGTTTTAATAGCCATCTGGGTTTTTTTCGCCAGTAGGCTGCCCATCTGACTTGGGCCATAATGCTACGAGCTAATGCATAAATAAAGCCATAAATGCAACTTGAATCCGCCTTCAAAGTATATGCCAAAAAAACTAGTTTCTAAGGTCAAATATTTTAGCCAAGATTTACATATTCTTGAAATTGAATTAGCAACCATGAGGAGAACAACGATATGTAAGTGAGCTCTTAGTTTCAACAGTCAAGGACTTTGCCCTCAAGTCCCTAGTATCACTTAGGAATTTAAAACTCACCATAAAATTAAACTTAACAGCATTTGTTGCTTCTTCATGCTGAAGCAGATGGCTGCTCCTGCGGCAACTCTCTTAGTGGTTTGTGTTATGAGGATTAACTTGTTTGTTGTTAAATTAAACGACTTACTAATTTATATAGCTAGACTTATTAGCTGTTTGTTAAACAAAATAAATAGGTTTAAATTATATTTGGCACGTTTTGCAAATCTTTTTTGATTGATTGATATTCCCGCGTTATCGCGTGGTTATGGTGTTAAGACCAACTTAATAAATAAACTCCTGGCTGGTGATCTCTTTATCTAACGGTTGGTTTTAGCGAGGCACTTGGCGATTAATTTGTCACCAGGGGTGCGACGGAGTCTTGCCAAAGAGATTGTAACCGATGATGTATGCTATGATTTGAATCCTTTCGGTAATTAGCATAACGTTGACAATGCAGAGCACAGCATTGAACCGAATACAGAGGCGAGGACGAGCCTATCTTGGCCACCAGAACTCTAACGAGGGACCGAACACACGACTCGATCGGTAGGAATGCGCCAACGAACTGAGGCCGCGACGCGATCCAAACGAAATCGAAACCGAAATTAAAACCGAAACCAAGATCCAAGATCTATGTCTATGTCTCAGACCCAGACCTCAGACTCAGACGAAAACCCGACTCTGGCTCTAAGCGCGGCAGAAGCAAAAACGTATCTGAAAGCTGCCAGCCCCGGTGGCCGGGCTTAAAAGGCAAGGCACACAAACACCAAAACGGATCTGCTGTAAGCCGAGCTTCACCCCGAAAATAAAACCGGTCACAAAACGCTCTCTCTCTGTCTCTCGGAGCACCTCTCTCTCACTCCGGGCCCGGAGTCTGAGTCAATAGTCGTGTGTCTTTGGGAGAAAGTAAAAACTGATACGACTCGGCGGTGGCGTACACTCCGCTACACAGCATGGAGCTTGGAGCTTGGAGCCCTGTCCCAGTGAGCATTAGCCCGGCCGAGACAGGCCGGGGAGGGAACCGGGCAAAAACAAAAATAAGGCCAAAAATTCACGCTTTTGTTTCGTTTGCGGTCAGAGGCAATTTTTTTTGTCGGGTTTTTGGCCAACTTCACTTGGCACACATACTCGCTCATTCCGGCTCGGATATTTTTTATTTTAACACCTTTTGTCTGCACTTTTGATTTCAAATCGCATCTTGTGAAAGGAGTCACGCGCTTTGTGTCTCTCTTATTATTTTTGTAATTTGCACAAGAAACAGAAATAAAAGTCAAAAAATTCCCAAAAAGAAGACGAAAAAGTCAGAAGAAATAAGCCCGACTCTGAGCCAGAGGAGGCAAATATTTATTGCTGGCAAAGGCAGAGTCGAGAGGAAACAAGTTTCATCTTATTGTGAGACGAGACGAGTCTCGAATCGAGTCGAGTCTCCTGCTGTGATGTAAGCATCCAAAATTCCATTACCCATACCCATACCTATGCCCAGACCCAGACCCAGTCTCGACTACAATTCCAGTCCCAGATTTAGATTCAAACCCAGCTACAAAGGTCTTCTCACCCACATTGGGCAACTCTTTCTCCCTTTCCCAGTCCCAGATACCAGGTCTCAGGTCTCAAGTCTCAGGCCTTAGCAAATTAGAAATCGAAATCGAATGCAATCCATCAGCCATAGGGCATCCCCGAAAAAGAAGAAAACACCGACGACTGCCTCATTCGGGCAAGTTAATTGTTTAACCAAACACTTCGGTTAGTGGACGGGTGCTAAAATGGCAAGCCAACAGCCCAGACAGGTGGCGCATGTCTCACCGCCACAAATTGGGCACCGAAATGTCATCAAAAAGGAGGCTCCGGCCATAAACAAAAAGCAAATAAACAGCTACACGTATCAGACACTTGAATTGCTAATCAAAGTCATCCAAAAAGCATTAAGATCAGAGTAGGTGTTCAGTGCAAAGAAATCTCAGCATTTCCCAAGGCGAAGCTAATTCAAGGATCTGGGGCAACTTAGTCTCAAAAATATATGGAAAGCTTTGTAAAAACTATAAACCTCAGTAATAACTCCTTCCCATCCCATTAACATCTCGGGTAACAACTCGAAAACATGTTTCCTTTGTATAAAGTGAATTCTGACATGCGTGTTCAGTCCCCACCTTTCTGTGTTAAGTTTCGGAATATTTTCGACATTTTTGTGTTGATTTTGCTCATGCCCGCTGGCTGGCATGCAGGTCAATGTATTTATCGAGAGCTGGGAGCTGCGAGATGCGCATTTTGATTTGCATAATCTCACATTAGCTGACATTATGTTTTCCTCATTTCAGTGATGATGATAGACAGCAGCCTTAACTTTCCAATCAATCAACGCACGCAGAAGAGTGCACAAATGCCGCGACATTTACATTTCAGACTGGCCGACCTGAAGCCGGTGTCGTTTTTGTTTTTATTTTGCGGCTGCTGGTGTTTTCCTTGTGGCTTGTTGTTGCAAATGCCGGGTCTTCATGGCTAATGGACGCCCCTCACATGACCTTGCGAGGGGGCCTTAATTTGTCACCTCTGTTGACCAAACCAAAAAGTGAGCTTAAATTACATTTAAACGACCATTTCAGCTGCCGCTCGCTTAATTACAATAGATGTGCCCACCGAGCACACACACACACAGCCTCAAAAACTTAAACATCAAACCTCCAACAAATTGCCATTGAAATAGCCAGAGATGTTTCTCTGAAAAAACGAAATACGAAAAACTAAATGGCAATCACAAGATGGCATCACGTGCTTAATGCTAATCTCCATTTTGATTTCAGCTTCTTTTTCAGCTTTGTGGCTATCCATGACTACCATGCCGACTACTATGATACAGGAACCAAGCCCCAAAACTGTTTGTTTAGCTTTTGGTTAGAGCCATGTGATCTGAGACTTTGTTTTTGGTTAACGACAATTAGTAAGTGCAATACATATTATATTACTTTCAGTTTTTTGGCCAAACACTTGCTAATTGTCAATGCGGATCTGGGGACTTGACCCCCAAGCAGATCCACCTATTGGGCTGATATAAATTCAAATTAGGGGGAATTTCAGAGCCGGTTCTATGACGCGGTTTGTGGCGCCAAAGCTTACTAGGAACTCTAAACTGGGATTTTTGACAGTTCGCGGTTGTTTGGGGGTCTCGGTGTCAGAAGTGCCTCTCAGCGGCCGTTGGCCAGTCTTCAGCCTCGAGAATACCGTGCGCCTGGCACCAAATCGATTTCATTTATGGCTCTTCAAATGGCGTCAAGATCTGCCAAGCCAAGTCGAGGTCCGGTTTATAGCATTACGTAAAAGAGACGCGCACAGAAATATAAATAAATGTCGTTTTAATGATATTTGAAAACAATATACCCTCAACTCGAGCAAAAATCCGTTATCCAAATATAATAAAATACAAAAATTATAAAGAGCTGCCTCCGAAAACTCGCTCAAGTGCTATGGGCATTGTTGTGTCAAGCGCATTTCAACGACTGCGAGATGAGGCGAAAGGGTCGATCGATCAGTAATTTATGTATCGATTAAATTAAAATTTACAATTTTAAATCGGCAAGAAAAAGACTCCAGCCAGGCCAGAAGACGGCACTTGAGGATGCCCACCCATTGGGAGTCTAAGTTCAACAGGTTTTCTCATTAAAAACCACGCAGTGAAAGTCTTAAAGCAATCAATTTTATTTCAAGTTATGTGAGTTCTTATTGGGAACTGGGAAGATATCTTTATCGGCTTGGGAATATGCAAGAAATTATAAAATCTCTAAATAAACCTAACTATCTAATACAGTTTTCTATAAGGTCTCTTAAACTTAATTTTAGTTCTATGAAGTATTGAAGAATTCCTGTCTAACGATTTTGATGTCTTTGTCTCTATTTAACTACTGAATTATTTCAAGTTTGTTTTTATTTCTGTTAAGTAAACAAAAACGTGCTGTATGTGGGTGTTTCATGAGCGCCAAAAATGTCCAGCACATCGTGATTGTTGATGGAGCCCGGTATCTAGCAATGTTTACTTTATTGGCAAATGTTTGATTTTAATATTTAGCTATGTAGTTATTTATTTCCTTCTTATGAATCATATCATTAAATTGATAAAGTAAAATAATTATTTTAAAATAAACATATCTTTCTACATAAGATATATACATACATTAATCGTATACCGTTCGTAACTAACGTGACAATGTATTCATCCGCAAAGTATGCCACTATTCATGTGAGAATTTTTTTATTCAACTAAATTCCTAAAAACATGCAACAGTTTTAAACGTTACTACCATCCATTCGTTTAATAAAAGAAACAAACACTTAAGAAAACTTGGTTTTAAAAACTATATATATTTCTGAACAATTTGCGATCTAATCATATATCACAATTTATTTAACATTATTTAGTTCATCCGGCACAACCTTAAAAGCTAATTGGCATTATCAACAGGTGGAGCGGGCTTCTAAAGGCGCTTCTTGGATTCATTCAGTTTCGTGGTGACTTCCCCTCCCTTGATCCACCATTTGTGAGCCCTCCTGAGCATCTTCCAAGGCAGCCATATGGCAAGAAAAGCGCCCAGAAGAACGCAGCCGAGGATGTCAAGCAGGAGGTACTGGTAGAGGGGCAGAAAGGCGCCCTGCGACTTGAGATGTCGTGCCCCCCGATGCCGCATTATGTACTCGATCCAGAAGGTGGCTTCCGCCAGCGGATGCATGGGATTATCGCGGAAGCGTTGCGAGACCTCCAGGGCACTCTTCTTGTACTGAGGCTCATAGATCAGGGTCTCAATGTTTCTCACCAAGTCGTCGACGGTGAGTTTCGAGAAGACCAGGGAACGGGCGTAGCCCTCCCTCACGGACTTAATCGTGTTCCGGTGCTGATCCCCATACAGGGGAATGCACAGCATCGGCACGCCCCAGTAGATACCCTCCTGGGTGCCGAAAATGCCGCCGTGGGTGATGAAGAGCCTCACGTTCGGATGGGCTAGTATGTCGTTCTGGGGCATCCACTTCCGAATCAAGACGTTCGGGGGCAGCTCCCCGATAGAGTCGTTTTCATACTTCCAGATGACCTGCTGCTTCAGCTGCCCGAAGGCCTTCAGAATGAGGGCGGTCTTCTCGGGCGGCATGTCGGTACTCTTCATGTAGGATCCCAGGCTGAAGTATACCACACCGTGTGTGGCCTTGTCTAGGAAGGCTTGCAGATCATCGGGCAGCTGCTGGGCGGGCTGAATGTGGGCTCCTCCCACATCTATGAGTCCCGGCATACTAGGACGAGGCAGGTCCACACTACGGTGGCTGTTGATCAGCATCAGGGAGATGTTGCGCTCCAGATCGTGGACGTGGGGCAGGGGACCTAAAAGCAAGAACAATTTAAGTAGGTAAGTGAGCCAGAAGTTGTATGTTCTTAGGATTCACCTTTGATGACACCCTGGAAATACTTCTCCGCCAGCTCCTGCATTTTGGGCAAATAGAACCATCGTCGCATCACAGCATCGTACAAGGATATGTAGGCGTTGTAGGCGCGCTGGCTGAAGGTCATCTGATCCGTGTGGGACAGAAGCAGATGCGGGATCACAGACCAGGGAGTGAGGATTCCCATGGCATGGTCCATGTTGTCCGCGTATCCCATTGTTCCGATTGTGACGACGGGACAGTTGAACTTTCTGCCAAACATGAGGAAGGCTTCGTGGAAAAACTGCTCTAGGATGACCAAGTCGTAGTGGTCGTTCTGGCTGGTAATCAGGTCCTGGACTTTGGGGTCCTTGAAAGCGTGCTCGGTGGTCATCAGCCCTATGGTCCACCATAGCTGCAAGTTCTGGAAGTCGCTGGCGAACTGCATGGTAAAGATGTTCTTTTTGGGAACTAAAGTAAAGGAATACAATTAAGACCGCTGCTTCTGTGGGGCTTTCTTTCAACTAACAATGCTTGGGAATGTCAAAGGAGGGACTGATGATGATTTCCGTGAGGTTTTCGTGGGGCTGCTTGGTAGGGTGGTTGTTCACGCTGGTCACGTGGTGGCCCTGGCGGAGGAGATCCCTCTGGAAGTGCTCGAGCCAGAGCCAGTGGCTGGGGGCCGGGAAGGGGCCCATGAAGAGAATCCGATAGCCGGAGCTGAAACTCGACAGTCCAAGCAGGAACATCAGCCAGTACTTCCACTGCAGCTGCATCTCCATCTGGTTTCAGAAATCAACATGGACAATTAAACAACGTCAATTAAATTGTCAGCCTCCCAGGCAGGGGGCTAAAAGACGCATTATTAGCGCTTTGATTAACGTTAGCTTAGTTTATGTTCGGCGTTTGATTTGCTATTTGCATAAAGCAAAGTGCTATGGACAGGGCAAATGATTTTGTTATTAATGAGGCGGGGGCTGGGGCTACACATGATTGAAATGGAGTCAGAATATGGCTAGTCGACACCTTTTCTTCCATTCTTTGTTCGCTCTGCATAAATAAATATTAAACTAAACAGAAATCATATCTAATGCGATCTATTTTGGTGTTTTATTCCCAAGTGATTTCAGAGAAAACACACCTTTGGTCTAGACTCTGGACTGCCAATTGGATCTGATTGAAATGCAGCAGATAATTTCATCATTTTGTAATTAGCAATTAATATTTGAGTTGTATGATACGTTGCCAGCTGGACGAGACTGCATTCTTGGCGATCTACACACCTTTTATGGCTAATCTCCTACGCCAGGTTGCAATCTGGACTGGCAATCTTTTGCAGTCTGGCCTTGAAGGCCTTTATGTTGTTTATCTTTCTTATCAAACACTTTCTTATCGCCTTTTTATGTAGGCTGAGTCAATTGAATTATAAAAAGATTTGTTTTGTTTTTCTGAACCTCAGATTCGTATCCCAAATAAAGTTTATTTTAATTTGAATTTTATTTGCATTAAGCTCTTGGCCTCTTAGCCGTGGCACATGCCAATAAAATGTATTCGGGCTCATTTGATTAATTTATTATTTGTTTCTAGTGGAGGGTATGGGAAATGCGCATTGTTTGGATTCGATTTATTTCCTGATTACGGTTGTTTGGGTTGACGCTCTACAAAGTGAACTAACTGAAATATAAATAAAACCTGCTACTCGTCGTCATTGGACGTGCTGATAAATCGCATGTGGAAGTAATTTGCCGCGCAGCTCGCATTTCAAATGACATTTTCTCACAAGCTAACTGTTATAATTTAGCAGTTGAATCTTTTTTTTATAAATTGTAATTGAATGGTGTTGCTTCTCCACCAGGCTAATGCAGTTTCAGGTTGAGTGCAATACAAACGAGAAAAAATCTGAGATTTTATGATCTTTGGCCAAGGTTGGTGGGGAAACTTGGAGTTGTAAGAGCATAATTGCCTAACGATTTGTTGCCCAACTAATTGTTAAGTTAAATTAAAATTATTTTATTACAATGACTTTGGGAATTGTAAGTGTGTCTGAATAGATTTTGTAGGTTGTGCCTTGTGGGTTGGAGTCGTATAACTATTTGTGTCAAAAGTAAAAGTAGTTTTTAGGCTGCATGTGAAAGCACTTCCCAAATGGTTACCCAATACTTGTATTTTTGTGGTTTTATGTAATTACAAATTTTCTGGGAATAGATTTCATACAATTTTGCTTAAGATTAAACTCTTGTTCTTGATTTGCCATATCTGATAGCACTTTCTTTATGTTTCTGATTAGTAAGACTAAGTAGTATACAATTAACAACCTTATATTTCTTTATTTAATTTCGCGTCTGACAGAAATAATAAAATGTGTTTATTTTTATTTGCACAATTGTTTTTCCAGGTCTCTGGTACTTAATTAACACATTTCGGATTTAAATCCCAATTTTAAAAATAGCGCGCAACACGACCGCCGGGCACCAAAGTGCAGTTATCACTAAACTCGGCGTCGCAAGGCGGCGAACACCTCAACTTAATCAGCATTAGCCTCCGCCGATGCAAAGTCGCGGTCGCCGTTGCAGTCGCCGCCGGCACACAGCTGCAAACGCGCACTCGCAGATACAAAAAGCTTAGTTGTATCTGCCGGATTGAGGTAGCCCTGGCCTGAGCGAGAGACTCATTGTTTGGCTTAATCTCATTGTTTGATTTTTTTATGTTTGTGTGCCGCGATAATTGGAATATTGTTACAAATGATTGCATGTGTTGCCAAAATAATTATTGGCTGTCAATGGCACTTTTCCCCGTCTGGAGAACCCCCATACTCACGTGTCGCCCAACAGATCGGAATTCCACAATTCTTACTGCGAAATAGCTTGTCCATTGAACTTTTCCAAACAAAGATCATACATTAATTAGAACCTGAATTTCGGGCTGAATATTATGGTATGAGTGTTTTGTTATCATTCGAGTCAAGTAAACAAATAATAAATATACAATAAAAAAAACAAATATTGTTTATATTCAGTAAAAACAAGAGTATATTTCTAAGCTCGATGCATCTCAACAATAGCCAACACATTCTATTGAAAACCTTACAGGATGATACATCTGCCTCTAAGAATACTTCAAACTTCTTGGAAAATCCGAAGCACCTTTATTTATTTAAATAATTTCCTTGTTCGTTGGAAATGAAACAATGCCCCGGGAGTTGCATAAGCTTGTTTCATTGCAAGCGGAAAAAAAGCCCGACATTTTTTAAGGGAATTTAATTTGAGTAAAACAAGTATTAATTGACTTTGTTCATTCACCTTGGAAGCGGTCAAGTTCACTTGTTCTGATAAGAAAGGCACATTAAATAACAATTAATGTGGTTCGGTGCTGAGCAAATAAAGGCATGATTGTCGTTTGGGGAAAGATGACAAATGTCACAAAACCATCAATGAACATGCAACAAATTGAGGAATAAGAAGGAAGCCAAACTCAAAAGGGCATAAACATACACAACACAAGACACCGAAACTTTTCATTGAAAATTGGCACGCTTCACTGAAGCGAATCCACAAAAACTGGAACTGGAACTGGGACTGGGAGTCGGGAGGAGGGCGTGCCAGGCAGCCGCCAAGGGCGTGGGCGACAACGATGATGGACGACCCTGCTCCGGGCGCTGGTTTGAAGGCAACTCCAGACATGGCCAAGAACGGCACTTTTGATGCAAGCGATCGCCAGGAGAGGCCACCAAAGAACCAAAAATGTGTACATTCATAAACCGACTGAAGACAAAAAAGTGGACATGCGGCAATGAAAATGAATAGCCTGGAACAAAAAATGCGGAGAGAAACAGCTCATTTAATCGGAGAAACATAAAGTAAAGGATCTTCAGGGTTTAGAACCTCTGACTACATGTATTCTAATAACTGTCTTCTTTCAAAAGCCTTGAAATATCTGTTTAGAAATTCCGGAAATCCTTTTCCATTCCATTCATTTCTATGATTCACTCTCCGCCATTTACGAGGTGTAAACGACAAATTGCCCATAAAGTTAAAGCCCATATACGCATGTATAGTGTGTTCGCTGATCAAAAGCCCCACCCAGAACAAAAATGGGAATTAAACGACAAGAACATCGTTTGTTAGATTGCGCCAATTTAATGTTTACTTTGCACTTTAGCCCAAGAGCCAAATTAGGCTAAATCAAACAGATACGCATAGAAGCGAGACCTTTGTATCTCATGGATCCATTAGTTCCCATCTATCAATCAATTAGGCGAACAACGTGCGTTTTCCCAGGCGCGTCTAGATAAAGGAGACCCAATAGAATAGAACCAAACCCCGCGATGACACTGGCGATTTCCACAGAACTATGTACACAGTTTCCACTCCGTTCAGTTCGATCGAGCTGAGCAATTAAAAATTTCACCCAAATAGAAGAGACGTTGCGCATGATTAGTCGACGAATTTAAGAGTTCGATCCGAACCCGCATCGGGAAATGGGTTTCAGTCAGTTGGTGGTCCGAGTGCCGACGATGGCAGAAAATTAGAGACTTTTTGGGGAGAGAATCGTGTTTTGGCAGCTGTCAATGTGTCAATATTAATTCAATATGTCGAAAGCAGAATTCAGCACAATTTAAAATTGAGTTATAATGTGACACACGAGATGGGCCCACTGGATTCGGGGTGGTAGACTCGTCTCAAGTGGATGGGGGTTCAGTGAAACCAACCAACCCCCTGGTGTCTACTTGGTAGTGCATTCTCAGACAGCCTTAACCTCGAACAATTTGTTAATGAGCAAATTACATGGTCTTGGAATACATATATTTCCAGGTCCATTACCTTGACAGAAACACAAAACCAGAACTCCCAACACGCCCCTAAGTGAATCACTCCCCCATTTCTAGTCAGAATTCGAGGCATTTCTGTTCGAGATAGGCAAACAACTATAAAAACTGTTGAGGCGTAAAGGATCTCCACTCTGGGGCGGACTTATCGCTTCGAGATATGATATTCATGGAAATGGATGGTTTTCCGGTGGCTTTGCCTAATTCACATGACCTTTTGACCTTTGGGAAAAGGGACTTAAAAAAAGGTTCAAGTGGTACCATATATTGTAATGGTCCCCTAGATATAGTTTATTTCTTTTAAAAGCAAGAAATTCATAAGATATAGACTAGTTTGAGGATGTTTCTAGAAGACATTTTTCCTTTAATAAATTTAGTAGGTGAATAAGGATTGCTACTCTAGTTATGGACCATCGCTACAGTCCCCAGACTTTTGTTCAAACAAAACGATATCAAATACTCGTGTCTATATCGCTTTGGGCTTTATCTTCGATTTTATTCGGAATATTTTTTGGGATTGCAGCGCTCCGTGCTGCGTTTTGGATTCGGTGGTGGCTCCGTGCTTCCCTGGAGCAATTAGTAAGAGTGCAGTTTTATGTGTTTATTTTTACATATGCCACAGCTGTGTGGCCTAACCTAGATAGTCAAATGTAGTCGCCGTCTCGCAGGCACTCCTTCACCAGCACTTCAGACCGCTGCCGAACACCAATTGTGCGTGATATGTCGCTGTTATCAGGAACAGCCCCTAAGGGTTTCCTACTCCGTTTTTAATGTTGCTCTGAGCCTTGAAAGAGGCGTGCAGTGGAGGTTACACCGGGAAAAACTAAAAATGATGTCGTGGCGGAATGTTGTCTAGAAAACACCCTTCGAAGTCTACAACCAGCCATGCTTTCCGTGCAGCTACTCCCGCCCATCTGGCCCAGGGGCTTTTGTAGGTGTTTTTATGTGATTTTGTGCATTTAATTTATTAATGAGCTGACCGCGGCGAATTCCTCATTAGGTGCGCCTGATTTATGTGGCATCTGCTGGCGGTTGGAATTTTGATGCCTGACAGGGAGGTCGAGGCGTTGGGTGCGGGCCGCTTGTTACCGCTTACCGGTTCCCGGTTCGTGGTGTCAAAGGGTTCATTAGCACGCCAAGAAGGATATTTACACAACAGGACAACGGTGGAAGCCAGTGACAGCAGTGACAACGTCCGGGACCGTGTGACTTATGTAACTTAATAGGCTGATGAAAAATGGTTAGGAGATTTTATCGCTCAACAGGCGCTGCAGCGACAGACTGGGAAGGCAAACAACATGTGGCAAAGTCACTGGCAGGCGCAGAGTTGAAGCTAAAGGCGATGCCCCAGCCAAATTGCAGCCACATGTGTGAGCACTCCGGCCCTCTCGGATCCCCCAACAAAGATGAAGATCATCAGAGAACTGCGCCAGCGTCCGAGCCCGCCAAACAAATTGAAAAGTTTCAACTCCTCCCGACGCTCGCAATTGCTCAATCCGCGTCCGCGTACTTTCCGCGTGCTCACCGAAAGGGGGAAAATGAAAATTAAACGGAAAGAGGGGCCCACCGAGAGCACCCAACCCAAGCGACGCCAATGCCGACGAGGAGGAGCCCCAAGAAAATGAGTGTTCGAGCAGTCGAGTGTCATCAGCGGTGTCTCAGTGATGAGCAAAACATTCAGAGAAATCTTTTCTACCAAATAGAGCTAATGACATGATTCATTTAATTAAATACAAATAGAATAGGTGGCTGTTGAGGATATATACTTGAGTAGAATTGGTTACTAACCACTACTGCCTATCTTTGATAGAATTTTTGATTAATCTATCCTGCCCCCTATCTTGCCTTTCTCCAATAATTTGTTAAAGTCCTACCGCATCCCTTCGCTACCAGCCATCCTCTCGCATCACTGCTATCTAGATACAGATACATTTTGGGCTGGCCCCGCGTTCGCGTTCGCGCGTTCGCAGAGCGGAGCACACAAAAGTCACTCGCGGGTGCGCCTTGGAGTGGTGGCATGGCAGAGGCAAATGTATATCGGTGGCATGGACAGAGGCAGGGGCAGGGGCAGCTGAGGCAGCCATGGGGTCCGAGGCCGGGGTCCGCCGGCAGCTCATCGAGCGAGCGCACACTTCTGCGTGCGGAATTTTCTTTCAGTCGGTGAGAAAACGTTGGCGTGTTCGGTTGTTCGGTTCGTTTGCTTATCGGAAATTCGGGAAATCGGTTGCGGGTGGTGGCAGGCGTCGCGGAAAAATCTACGCGCCCCTTCAGAGTTTTCCCCAATACATTCGAGTGAGTGAGTGTGTGCCTCTTGTAAATGGAAAAGCGCGGAAAAAAGAAATTTAATTTATTTTTAAGATTCGGTTTCCCCCTTCACTGCTGTCCTCTGTCGGCACTTTTCAGTCAAGAATTCCGGCTAAAACTTATTGTGAATGGAGGCGATTGTTCCCTCTGGTGGTAGTGAAGAGAAAAGATACAGAACTTTTGCTAATTGACCGTGAATACGGAAAATCTGTGTTTATGAATCTGTGAAAAGCTCAAAGGGCTAAAAGCAAGTCTAATTTATGATCTCCCAGGAAACATATAGGAAGTTGAGAAGAAAAGATGAAAATTGTAAAGAAGTGCACCATACCATTAGATGAATTCTAAATAAAAAGTAAATAGTGTCAGTTTAAACTAATATACAAATCAAAAATATTTAAAAACAAGAAAGGAAAGCTAACTTAGGGCGGAGCCGAAGTTTATATACCCTTGCAGTTAAAACCGGATATATATCGCAAACATCGGATATAGTTGGCCGATCCTTATGGGAATAGGAATATATAATCCAATTTATTTCAATACAAAATCTAAAAAAAGTCCCAAACTTCTATCTTCAAAAATACGAAAGTTGATATTTCTACCAAATACCATTTCCGATCGTTCAGTTATATGGCAGCTATGGGATATAGTCGGCCGATCCTAATGAAATTTGGTAGATTGGATCAACTGGCCAAATATATAATCTGTATTCAGTTTTAGCTTTCTATCTTCAAAAACACGAAAGTTGGGTCATTTCCGATCGTTCAGTTATATGGCAGCTATAGGATATAGTCGGCCGATCCTTATGAAATTTGGCATGTCGTAATGTTTTGCCAAAAATGTTAAATTTGAGCTCTCTAACTTTAAAAACGTCAAAGTTATACCATTTCCGATCAATCAGTTATATGGCAGCTATAGGATATAGTCGGCCGATCCGGGCCGTTCCGACTTATATACTGCGTGCAAAGGAAAGAAGGGTGTGTGCAAAGTTTCAAGACGATAGCTTTAAAACTGAGAGACTAGTTCGCGTAGAAACAGACAGACAGACGGACAGACAGACGGACAGACGGACAGACGGACAGACGGACAGACGGACAGACGGACAGACGGACATGCTCATATCAACTCAGGAGGTGATCCTGATCAAGAATATATATACTTTATAGGGTCGGAGATGTCTCCTTCACTGCGTTGCACACTTTTGACCAAAATTATAATACCCTCTGCAAGGGTATAAAAAATGGATTAAGAGATAACCCCAAAACATAAATTGAAACTGTACCCCGTTTTTCGGTCTTGTCTCGTGGGATATATGCCCCAATAACATTCATATTTGTGACATATGGTGTGGAAATCGCAACAGAGCACAACTCCATTCATCAATCGGTGGTACTCTACGACCATAAATCACTACACCCGGGAAGAGAAGAGTGTGACTAACTCGACAACTGAAACCAAAATACAAAACATTCATAAAAAAAAAATAAAAAACGTTTACCTATTGGGGCCTGCGAGTTGGGAAAGCGTTGAAATCGGCGTGGGCATCGACGCCTACCAATTTTCCATATGAAAACAGCGATTTCATGGCTTATCAAATCAATTTTCCTCTTTGATGCGGCATCTCCCATCCGCGGCCCCCACAAATCAGCGGTGTTTTGTTGGCCTTTTGTTTTCGGACTTTATTAGGGAGCCTCCAAATTGGTCGATTTTAATTACCATAAAAATATAAAGCAGTTCCAGGGAAAGAACTTTCCCAAAAAGTGCATCTAGCGGCAGGGGCAGCTGGCCAACTTACTATCCGGTAGATACATTTATTAATTTTTATGTAAATGGGAGAGAGGCGAACACGCGCCCGTCATAAACTCCTGCTCCCTGCCGATTGTCACTTTATTTTTTATTCCTATTCAGTTTCGGCTTCGGTGTCGTCTGCGGCGAGGCGTTTCAAATTTTATTTTGACTGCTGCGACGGCTATAAAAATATATGCTCGGATCGACAAGATCTTGGGCGGCGCGTATAAAAGTTAACAAGCAGAATTAGCGGAGCGAACTTAACGAGAACTCGAAGACACGACAACTGCAGCCTGCAGGCTGGAGACTGGAGGCTCTGCAATTGACCTGCCCCTTCTGCGGGCCGCATGCCGCATTTCCCCTCGAAAATAAATTCATAAGCATAATGTGCAACAGGGCCGAGACTCGCAGCCCCGCGAGTCTGAAAGTATTTTTAGATATCCCAGCGTAAATAATTCATTTTCCAGTCACAGTCGTTGACGTTTTCTCCGGGGAAATCTCTCCCCGGGGACTTTTGCATTCTAAGCTGGAAAGTTTTTCCGCGGCGATCTATTCGGGACCTTCGTGTTCTCTTTTCCGGATGGCCCTTGAACTTTGTCGACTGTTGCAAAATCCCGAACGAGAAATTCCACTTTAAGTTCAAATATCTTCCAACTTGAGCTGCCAGGCGCGGCCACTTAAGGCCATTTTTGGGGTCGTTTTTTCGGTTTAGCTCCCCACCTCCATATAAATAAAAAAACAATACATTTTACTCAGCTGAGCAGCAGTTTCCGCCGAAGTGGAGGAGCTGGCTGGGACGGCAGTTCAATTAAGTCTCCATAAAGTATCTGCAGATACGCTAATCAATGACGTATACAAATAGATACAAATATCTGAATTGGGCATGAGTCACAGCTAGAAAATTCTTTAATCTAAAATTGTGTCCAGAATGACTTTCTTTTTGTTAATAATATCCAAGTCTATTACTCAAAGAAAGTAACGGCATTCCATTATATCCCTTTCCAAAGGTCCTCTGCGTAAACGAAAGTAATATTAATGTCGAACTGGTGTCTATTATAGTAGAACCACTTCAAGACCAACATGTACTCGCCAGGGGGCCAGGTAGAAATGAGTAATTCATGCCGCAGATAAAACCCTTTTATAACTAGGGCACCCTATAATTTCTTCGATTAGACCAAATGATTTCCTTTAAAGAACATTAGTACATCTTACCACATACGGACAGGTGTGATTAAAGTTGGAAAACTCTTCAAAGAATCTGTGGACCATTGTGGCGAATGGGTTGTATTTCTTCCGCAAATAGCGACAGACATCCACTTTCGTATTGATGACCCATGGCTTAAACCCACTGGCTTTCTTCAAGACATTTGCGTGTACCTGTACGCTATTGGTCGGGTGGAGAAGGGTCTCAATCATATTGAATACCACCTTATCGCGACCCACAGCCTTCAGGCGGCACAGTTCGAAAACAACCCACGACTGGTTGTAGCTCTCGCAGACGACATTTGTCATCTTAAATACCACTGCATCCTAAAAGTTTGGAAGATTAGAGGCCTTAGCAAGTAAACTCATGCTACACTCACACTGGAACTCATTAGACACACAACCAGGGAGGAAAATATGATTAAACCGACCTCCATGCTAAACAAATGAAAAGTATAGGCCGTTGGGAATTCAGGCCGATAAAACCCAATAACTATAGATCCCATGTAAAAATAATAATTATTTTAATAGGTATCGATTATCTAAAATGACTTGTTTTCAAATGGTTTTTGATTAAGTAATTAAACGTTAGATAGAAAACAAATAAAGGTTGAAGCGGAACAAAGTGACACCAGCTAAAAAACAAACCTTTCATAATTTGTGATTTTGGTTCTTCTGATACAGGATCCTAGATACAGTAATATAATATAAATAATAATAAACTAGTGAAGTGAAGGCCTTTAAATAGTGAATGTAAATTAAACTAAAAGTTTATAATATTATTCCAATGAATCAATCTTCTGTTACAGCAGAGTGCCATTGCCAAGAAAAATATCAAGAGTGCCAATGTGTTTATGACAAAACCCCGAACGAAATTGAATCGTAATCAAGCGAAAGTTGGCTGGCAAATGCGTGAAGTGAAGTACGATTTTGAATACACAAACCGAGCAAACGAATAGGAAATTAGGAAAAGCTGATTCAGCTTCAAAGGAAGCCAGTGCACGTCTGTTCGCCTGTCTGTCAGCCAGTCGAGGTGGCTCCCCCGTGGCAGCGATAGAGCCCCTCCGGAACACCCCAAGTAGGAGCGGTGAAAACGCATGAGTTCTGTCAACGAAATGACATGCAGCATCTGTCTATGCGGCCATCGGGCCAGGACGTGATGCTGAGTCGAGGCCTTCGATGCTCAGAAACTCAGATGCTCCGATGCCCCGGTGATGCTATTTTTATGAGGCCCCAGACTACTACAGACGACGACGGATGCGTGGCCCCATGAAAAATCAATTAACACGCAAAATTATTAAAGACGAGCAACAAAAACCGAAAAACGAGAAGGAAAACGAAAACGAACGAGTCCCTGTCACATATAACTTCAAAGCAGCTGCATCGGAATGTCGCGCCTCCGTGGATTAGGATGGCTTGCTGTGCTGCTGTCTTGCCTGCTGCAATTGCAAACTGTCGCAGCCATGAAAGGTGAGTAAAAAACAACACTAACTCCAGCTAAGACCACGACCATCTACAGTTAATTAAACGCTACAACCGCCAGGTAGCAGAGATACGCGCCCCAGAACTTAATACCTCGCATAAACATAAGATTTATCATGGCAAATGATCAACGCACGATTTATGCTCATTACAAATATGGCCAGCCACGAATTGGCTTAAAAAGCCGTCCGACTGGCAGGAGCGGCAGAAGCCGCCGAAGCTCCGACCAAATTGCATTTACTTTGGCTGCCATCGAAGCGGACATAAATTTTTTTTATTTTTTTTTTTTTATTTTAACGTTGCTTTTATTTCTTGAATCTTCTCTTTGCGAGACTAACAAGAGGTGTATCAAATCTTATATTTTTAACTTAACTAACAGTCATATTGACTGATACGGAGTTAGACGGCCCTAAAAATCGATTGCTGGGTTGGGAGGTCGTTGCGTCTAAGGCGGGATACGCTAGAAACCCGAGTCAATCCCCGAGCGAGAAAATTTGGGTGCGAAGACAGTTTTTCTTTGTATGACTCTTTTTGCTTCTGGATTTCGTCTTTCACTGCGAGGATGCCCAGATCCCGGTGGATGTTTTCGTTGCGAACATACCAAGGTGCCCCTGTGATAGTTCTCAGGATTTTTGATTGTGCGCGCTGTATGATGTCTATGTTGCTGCTGCTCGCGTTCCCCCACAGCTGGGAGCCATACGTCCAGATTGGCTTTAGGACTGAATTGTACAGTAGTAACTTGTAGTCTAGGCACAGTGGCGATCGTGAGTTTATGATCCAGTGGAGGCTGCTGGCTTTCAGTTTTAGATGCATCTTTTTGCATTCGATGTGCTTACGCCAGGTAAGTCGTCTATCAAGGTGAACGCCAAGGTACGTTACGTCGTTAGCTTGAGGGATCTGCATACCGTTTAGTAAAAGCGGAGGGCATGTTTGTCTATTAAGAGTAAACGTTATATGTTTACACTTTTGTTCGTTTATTTTAATGCGCCAGTCGGACAGCCACCTTTCCACTATTGTGAGATGATTAGCCAGTTGGGTTGTTGCCTGCGTTGGGCATCTGGAGCGACTAAGGATAGCGGTATCATCGGCGAACGTTGACGTTGTTAGTTGTGCGCTCGTAGGAATATCCGCAGTATACAAAACATATAGACACGGCCCGAGTGCGCTTCCCTGTGGAACTCCAGCTTCGATGGTGTAGTCGCCCGAAGTAGCTGCGTTGCATCTCACTGAGAATACCCTATTGAAGAGGTATGATTCCAGTAGCTTGTGGGTGTATGTTGGCAAATACGTTTTAATTTTGTGCATGAGTCCGATGAGCCAAACTCGGTCGAAAGCTTGAGATACGTCGAGGAAAATAGCGCTGCAGTATTCTCGTTGTTCGAAGGCTGAGCGTATTTCGGATGTTAATCTGTTCACTTGTTCGATGGTTCCATAGTTTCTTCGAAAGCCAAATTGGTGTGCCGGGATGATATTGCAAGCTTCCAAATGTGGTATTATGCGAGTTAACAAGCATTTTTCAAACAGTTTAGACAAACAAGATAGAAGGCTTATTGGTCTGTATGATGACGGAATTGTGTGGTCTTTTCCAGGCTTCGGAATCATTATAATAATGGATTTCTTCCACTTTTTTGGGAAATAGCCAAGATTAATGATTCCATTAAATAGTTTGCAGACGACCTCTATAGCGCATTTTGGAAGTTCGATCAGCATCTTTGGGGTCAATAGGTCACCACCGGGAGCCTTTTTTGGTTTTAGCCCTCTTATGACTTTTTCGATTTCGTTCGGCCGGAATGGAGGTGCGGCTGGCTGAGGGGAGGACTCTGGCTGAATTACTGGCAGGAGGAATGAATTTGAGGCTGGGTTTGGCTGGAAGACACTTTGGAGATGTGTGGCGAATGTTTCAGCTCGGTCTTCGTTGCTGCGAGCCCAGCATCCCGAAGAGTTTCTTATCGGGGTGGTCGTTTCAATTGGGGCACTAAGATTTGGGTGGGCCCTCCACAGGGGGTACTTTGTGCTTGTTGGCGAGAGATTCTGGATGTACCTCAGCTGTGCATTTTCTTCCTGTTGGTGAAGAGCCTGGTCGAGTGATCGGGTTGCTTCCTTAAGGCGTTGTTTTGAAGCTGGTGATCTGCTGTTTTGCCAATCACGACGCGTGCGCCTCTTTTCTCGCACGAGCTGTTCGATTTGCTGATTAGATTTGAAGTGTTTGTTTCGGTCTACTTCTTTCCTATGAGGAGTAGAGATTTTAGCTGCCGCAACGAGTACTTCTTCCAGGGCGCTCGTAGTGTAGTCGATGTCCGATTCCATGTTAAAATCCGGGGCGAGTTCTATGTGGGCACTCACGTACTTTTTGTATTTTAGCCAGTTTGTTTTTGTCGTCGTCAGACTGAAGGGGTGTTCGGTTATTTCTGGGCTTTGAAGAAGCGTTAGAAGCACAGGCGAGTGGTCTGATGATAAGTCCGAGACTGCTTTGGCACTTATTAGATTGCGAGGTATGTTTTTTGTCACTGCAAAATCAATAAGGTCTGGGAGCTTTCGTGAGTCTGTTGGCCAGTATGTGGGACTTCCAGGGGAAACGTAGTCCAGTTTATTTTTCACATTTATAATTGCATTGTACAATTGTCTTCCTTTGGGAGTCACTAGACGTGATCCCCAGTGCGTATGTTTGGCGTTGTAGTCTCCTGCGGCTATAAATCGATCCCCAAGTGAATTGTAGAAGTCCATAAATTGTCCTTCCGAGATTGAGAAGCGAGGAGGGCAGTAAACGGCAGCAATTGAAAGGATTCCGTTGCTTGACTGAATTTGTATCGATGTGGCCTGCAAGAAGTTTGTTGCAAACCTTTTGTGAAAATGGTGTTTAATTCGTTCTCTGATTAGAACTCCAGTTCCGCCGTGGGCTTTCCCATCTGGATGATCTGTGCGGTAGATTGTGTAGCCTCTTATATGAAAGTTGTATTTGCTTGTAAGATGCGTTTCCACCAGTAGCATAACGTCAATATGGTTTTCGGTCAAGAATTGTGACAATTCTAGTTTATGCCGTGAGACACCATTGGCGTTCCACATTGATATTCGTAGCGCCTGCATAGATTATTTGGACTGTTGTGCTACGAGCAGCTGTATCACCATGTTCTGGTTTTGAACAAGCGTTTGCATGGTCGTTTTCATGAATGACATAAGCTCCATCATACTTTGTTGGAGGGTAAGCATCATAGTTTCCGTTTTGCTGTGTGGCTGTTCTGGGGCCTGTTGAGCGCTTTGAGAGTTAGGCTGAATTGGAATTTCCCTTCCAGATCGTAGAGCATCGGCATAGGAGAAGCCGTTGGTGGTGTTTAGTGGACCGAATGAGGATCTCGCAGCTTTGGCGAAGAAGACGTCTGGCGTGGTTTTTGACGAAACGTACGCATTCTGTGGATTTTGGTTGCGCGTTGCGGTCGCTTGACGCATGCGACTCTTTAACTCCTTATACACAATACATCCTCTATAGTTTGCCGTATGGCTGCCTCCGCAGTTTCCACATTTCTTCACGGTACTGTCCTTGTTTGTAGTGCAGCAAGCGGACTTGTGGGCGTCCCCGCAGACTACACAGACAGCCCGAAGTGTGCAGTAAGACCTTGTGTGTCCATACTCTTGACAATTAGTGCATTGCACTGGACCGTTACGTTTATGTGGCTCTTCAACAGTGATTTTCCGATGCAAAAGATATTGCAGGTTGTAGATTGGGTGGACTTCGTTCTTCTTCAGCGACCTGCTTTCAGGCTCGAGCTCGACCTTGAAGAGGGGTTGTGGCTTTTTATCTTTATTTAGAATGTTAATAACATTCTTGGCGGCGAAGCCCTTTTCTTTAAGGGCGGTTTTTATTTCCTCGACGGTAACATCAGGTTCTATTCCCTTTACTACCACTTGTAGGCCCTTACTGCTTTTCAGCTGGTACGTGTAATAGTTTTTCTGTACAGTGTCCAGATATTTTGACACTATTCGGAAGTGCTCTTCAGTCTTGGTTTGCACCTTTGTTTCATGGATGTTCCCTTTGATAAGCGGAACAACATGAAAGTTTTCACCGTTCCCGATCAACGACGCAATTTTGTTGACCAGGGCACTCGAGCTTTTTTCCCTAATATAGATTGGAGGGGGCTTGGGTTTTTTTGCGGTGTCTTGGGCTGGTTGGTTTTCCTCAGCCTCCGCCAGTAGCGCAAATCTGTTAGTAGTGGACCTGTCTGGTTCTTTATCGATATTCAGGATACGGTTAATTTTTGTTTTGTTGCCTGCCGGATTACTCTGCGGGCTAAGCTTGCGCTTAATTTGGACATAAATAAAAGTCAAAAGTCAAAAAAGTGCGCGGACATAAATAAAAGTCAAAATAAAGAGTTGCAAATGGTGCAGTGGCACATACATTTTGGTGTTACCCGCGCAAGCCAAAGAACTTGCAAGCGGCACTGTGGGTTTTGTTCTGGAAACTTTCAATAAAAATATATATATAGAGACCTATAGATTCTCCTCATAGGATTTCCCACGATAGCTATCAGTATTGACCTCCCCAACCCCTCAAAGATTTACCTCAATTCATTTTTGTGACTAATTCGACCAACTGGTCGCCTCCGACTGGCTCTTCCTGGCCTCTGAATATCAATCTGGACGCAGGCCCTCCAGTTTAGCATTCGCCATGCTCCATGGTAACCCCGGCCGGCCCATAAAATCCAACTACTTAACTACAATGCGCCGCTGCAGTGCACTTAACGCATTTTTCACGCTTGACATTTGACTTGGGGCGCACTTTTCTCGTTGTCGTCGTCGTCGTTGTCTGTTGCCTTGCTGTTGTCGTTGTCGGGACAGAAAGTATCTGCAACTCAAAGTATCTGCGCGGTGCGCCGCACAAACGCTATCCAAAGCCCGACGTGCTCTTAATTTTGCTGTATCTCTCGGGAGGCGACACTCGGAGGAGCAGTCTTGGCGCAAATGTATTTTTAATGATATTTTTAGTTAGCACGTGA